TTAATTATTTTTCGCATCTCCGTTCTTCTATGATTCATGTTGGTAGGTCTCACTTATACATGACGCGCGCACAGGTTTAAAGGAAAAAAGTGTTTCGTAACAGTCCGTTACTACTTATTGATAGCCAGCCAGTTCATTTATTTGTGCCGCACGTGCAGGTCCTATTTGTTTTGTGTATCATTGTGCCTTGTGTAGTGCATTTATCCAAAGAAAAGAATTTCCATGAATCCAAGATAAATCACACGTAAGGGAAATATTATATTAATTATCCATTTCAGAAGATGAGAAGGTATTTCATTAAAATTTTTCTGTTAGCCGCCCTTGACTTGATAATACTAGCTCGTATACTATGGTAGACGCAGAGCAGAGTTTTTAGACTAATTGAAATGCAAATTCCACCTTAAGTGGATTGTCTAGCTGGTCATATTGTAGTTGTTTTTAATTGATTTGAACGCGAACATTTGTTTGCAGAATATACGGTCGTTTTAACCGTCTTAGTAGGGCGTAGCCGCTTTGTTTTTTTGCCCGTATTCCATGCGACATGTAGAGTGGTTTTCACTCCCTTGAATGGAAAGTCTAGCTAGTTATATCGTAGTTGTTTTAACTACTTTGCCCGCAAACTTTTTGTTTGACAAATATTTGGGGCAGTATACGGTCGTTTTGACTGTCTTAAAAGGGCTTAGCCGTTTTGGTGTTTTGACCACGGACAATTTGTTTGCAGAATATTGGGGCACTATGCGATTGCTTTAATTCGACTAAATAAGGTCTAATCGTATTGACTTTTTGTTTGCATTTCATAAAACATGTAAAGTGTGGGTTTCACTCTTTTTACATGCAAAGTCTATCTATCTCTAAACATTTAGTAGTTATTTTAACCATGTCACCCATAACTTGTTTAATAATTGAAATTCATAAATTCCATTGCGTAATAAGTAGTAGATACTTATAATTACTCGAGGAGGCTACTAAAATCGTATTAATTTCAAACGAGACAATGTCGATCTGTCAGTCTTCATAGGGCGTTTATTTCGCGCGAAACCGGAAAAATTCCAAACCGTATATTTTTGAGATCCGATAACAGGCCCGTACTTATTAACAATTAGCCGATAAAAGAAAGTTGATATAAGGCAAAAAATTTCGCCGCATACCCGAAGCGCTACGAGCAACAATGAACGAGGTCAGGCTGGCGTGAGGCAATCGTTTGCTTGGCCGTCGATCTCGGCAGTCGACGAAGAGTTTTGGGTGCACACGTAGGTAGATCCTGCTGCTTCCCACCCAGTTGAAACGGTACACGTGCTTTGAAAACTGTTCTGCCACATTTATGGAATTATCTGAGTGTTTGGTTTCATGTGTTCTGTGCGACCGAAAGGGATAATGTGAGTGCTGTGGCGGGTTTTCCTCTGGATTATTTCCATTCAAGTATATAGAAGTAAATATCGAAGTAGGTAAGTATGTCTAGTTTTTTCGCTCTCTTTAAACACAACTTTTACTAGTTTACTTGGTTCGTTCTGTTTTAAATTTTTCTCATTTGTTTCGTACTGATTTTTTCCACGATGACGATTTAAGCAGCTATTAAAACATAAATGTGGTGATATGCATGCAATTCAAGTAACGAGCAAACCACGCTATATTTTTAGTTTAATGTTTCTTACTTAGAATTCAAAAGTAGTGTCAAGCAATTTTATAGAAACTATTCATATCTATATACTGAGGTAACGAAATTACTCTTGCAAAATTGTATTAAACCACCAGGAACTTGAACTTTGGGCGAACCTTTTCTGCAAAATCAGTGGTAGTAGGTATATAGAGAATGATCGTTTTCAGGTGATATAAAAGTTTCTCAGTATATGAAAGTGCCCAAAATCGCAATACATCGCAACAATCGGGAACAATGATTTAAATTTCGTCTCGGAGTGTTACGGAACAATTTTTGCATGTTCTGTTAATTCGTAAAATCGCATTATTTATATACGTAGACACTATAAGCAAATTAACAGGGATACGGATAAAATTTTCTCTCGTTTCCACATACAGTTGCCTAAATATTAGTTATGCCTATTACGAAGCGATCAGATACTATTTTATGTCATATGCCCATACGAACAGCAAGAGACTTCAATGATGATCGGTATGCCTAACTTAAAAATTTTATTTGGAGCCTATAGTTTTTCCAAACATCGTTAATTGTTGTAGAAAATAATATTAACGTATATATTTACCTAAGTATATTATTTTATGTGCTTTCCTCTTGTGAAGAGCGACCTTGTACGTGTGTGTCATAATTTAAGTAGGTACTTAAGTAGGTACCTACCTACCTATACCAACTTACTTAACAGTATTGGACTTGAATCTATGAATATACATGAATTCGAGAATCTGAAAAATAATTCTGTCGTGTAGTGCGCGGTTTATTATTAGCCACCTCCCGTTTAACCAGTTTTAAACTTTTTACGAATTTTTATTCTTATTGTTTAATCTGAAACTGAAACTACAAGATATTCTTAACGTGCGTGCATGTGATAATTATATAGTAATTCCACACATAAATTTTTTACAAGATTGAGCTTTAATCTATCATCTTCCTAATTCACTTGCAAACACGTTATTGCAATTAAATCGTATACCTACTTTCATTGATACTGATTAACAATCATGTGTCAAATTTTGAAAAAAATATTAATTTCTCATACCAAGTACTCGACAGAACAATGTCAGATTACTTATCTAATTGGATTTTGATAAAACCACGACTTGTTTTCTTGTTTACATATTGATCTTCTGCAAGTCTGAAGGCCAATCAATGAACTTTAAAAATATCGATATGGTCTTGCTGAAGAATATTCGTTTATTTAATTTGCTTACGACGACAGATCATTATCCTTGGCATTCCTTTCTGAACATCCTCAGAAAAGGAACGTGCTTATATTATATCTAAATATAGATATTCTATATGATAACTTAAAATTTGTATAAGAACTGTTGCACTGTGATTGTTATTTGTTTATGAGATGCACAAAAGCTTCCCACAATTATGAGGTTGCTATGGTTTTGAAAACATTGTTTCACTTCCTTATATTACGCAGAATCAAGTGTACATACCTACATCCTGTTATTTGTTTCTAGTGTGGACTGTTCTTTTTCGCTTAGGTTTTGAAATATCTATGCCCATTGTCTAAACCCGTATAGTTTGCGTGAAAAATTAATTTTGAAACAAAAATTTAAAAATGTTAGTTTAATCTTTTGTGAATTAGTTAATAATTGTGTTAAATTGAGCATTAAGCCATTGTATTAATATTTAATCATGTAGGACAGCTGGTTTATAAAGCAATATTTTAATTAATGTAAAAAAATAAATTAATATCGATTGCACAATAATCGCCTATTTCCTTAATTAGAAGCATAGTCGAGGGTTTGTAAAATAAATTATTTCACTTTTCATTTCGTAACGCTTGGGTGACTGGCATTCAAACAAAATAATCACATTAACTGACCAAGTTTTTTGGCATCCATCTAAGAAATTGCCCGGCTTGTACTACCTATATGTTATCAAAGTTGGACAACTCATCGTGAAATTATATTTTTATTTTATTTCATTTAGGCACATATTATACCTAATTTGATATCATGGATAAGTAGGTATCAAGGTATTCAATTGTTTTTGCAGATACTTTACTAATTGACAACTGCGATACCTTCTACTGGTTTTTTCAAGGTCGTTTTGAAATATTTAATTTCTAAAATCGAATTCAATTTCTTTCTACGCGGGTAGAAATGCTGTTATTTTCCTATAACATAATTTTCTTTGACAAACCGTTAAAATGTTAAAAAAACAAGACTTTTTTAACAACTTTACGTAGTTATTAAGTAATTAGGTTAAACATTTTATTTAGTTATTTTAGTAGGTTTCATGTACCTACCTGTGTCATGCAGTATGTTTATAAATACTAATATGGCTTTCTAAACAACTATTTCTATATTTTAAACGGAAATAATTACAAGTATCTTGCATGACTTCGTTTACGAGTAAGTATAGTATTTTGAAATATTATTATACCTACATTTGTACAGATCTCGTTCTTTTACCTGCACTATCATTAAAAGATAAAATAATATCCGTATTGAATGTTGTTTCTTGAATTTTCAATAGGAAAATGCGCTATTCAGCGAGTATACCTTTAAAAGGCATTTTCCTGTGTATTTAATCGCGTAGGTATAACTTTTACCGCATGTTTAACTTTTCCTTACAGATTTTCAGCTTTCTATATAGAATGTTAAATGCCTAAGTATATTCAATGTTGGTGTAAAATAGATATACCTACATTTCAGTAAAACTGCAAATTAGTATAGTGAGTGTACAAACGGATTAAAATACTATGAGCTCTGAAAGCTTGTCTCAATATTTTCATATTTGTTCGTCGCACCGTTTGTCAACCTATTAGGTACTAAGAATCGTGTAAGAAATTTAAAACAATGGTGCGCGTAATGATTAATGGATGAACTGATTTTGAACTACTGCAAGTCGCCGTCACTCAGGATCGGCTTGGAACGCGGACCTGCGGATAAGAAAACCTAGAGCGATGACCTGAGAAATGACAGGGTATTTATACCGCATCATTAGTACTACTATCGTGTTCATGGCACCTCTACAGCTCTCGCATAGGTCCAATAATTTCGATTAAATGTTGCAATGAATGCCTCTCTGCGTGACTCATAAAGGAATGAGATACTTTCCGCAGAAAGTGCATTGATATTTATATAATTACCTATATACTAAATAGACATATGCGCAGTTACGTTACAGCCTCTTCACAATTTGTTACATTTTTGTACCTTACCGAATCATTTTTCATTGCCTAAATATATAGTTGTTTCCTTGCAAAAATTAATAAATGCACTAAGTACAATATACCGGGTGCTTCAGTTTGGTATTTGTAAACCCTTCTGGATTTAAAAACTCTTCTTTTCTTTTTAAAAGAAAAATATACCTGGCAGCTTTAGCTTTCTTTCGGCTCTCTCCATAAATTTATTAAAATCATAGATATCTAGTTTTTCTTGGTTACTGTAGGTATTCATGTTGTACAAAATGTCAATTATTTTGACAAACCGTTATTTAGAAACATCAAATTTCAGTTGTTCCCGCTGCTGGCTATCATTTTTCAAAATAAAGCTACCTACTGAAAGTAGGGTTCATCTTTATTGTTGTTTTTCTAGTAATATTTCTATAATAAAAAAAATTTTAAAAAAAAATCTTCCAAAATTGATAAAAAAAATATAAGTAGGCACAGTGTGCCATTTGAACAAAAACAGTTGACTATAGCAATTTTGACATATGGTTACCATGGACACGATCTAATAATGTCATTTGATAAATATATAGGGTTCGTTATAGCTATTTGTTAAAATAAAAGAGATACGAGGCCGCGAATATCAAACTGAATCACTCAGTATATGAATTTTATAATACATAGAATTTGATTTCAAAAGTTACAAACCCAAAATAAATCTAAGCACTGGCCCAAGAAAGTTCGAAATCTTTCATATATGCAGAAAAGGTGTGCAAAAGTGAATTTTCCCCTCTTTAAACAATGTAGATATTACGCTGTATCAAATAATAATTAACAGCGCTGTGGGTAAAATCCCTAATTGATCTTGCGAAGATACAAACAATGAACAATCTAAGCATAATAGTACCTAGATTCAATTATTTAATTTTCATGTTAACAGTAACGAGTTCCTAAGTATTCTACTATGGGAACTCATTATTATAGTATATGTCTCAGTTTGATATGCACTGCTCAGAATGTAATAAAGATATAAGATTACCTTTAACGTTAATATTAATTGAGACACAGGAAGATCCAAATTTTTTTTATTGCATTTTACTTTTTTTATCAAGATATTTGAACGTCAAGTTAAAAAAGTATAGGCACCTATCAACCTGTCCGAGAACTTAATTATTATTTTCAAATTACAGCCATGGGCGTAGCTAGGATGTTTGCTTGGGGTAGGCCTAGAGCTGGCTGCAAGCTCTATGGACGCCTCAAAAAAAAAAACGGCAATGAACGACTTACCGATATAATATTTCAAAACCTAAGCACTTTTTCGTTTGATTCTAAAAAAAAAGGTGGCGATGGCGCAGTCGGCGACTTACCAATATGAGAACGATTATATTATTGGAACTTTTTTCTGGGGCGCACATCCTTGCCCCTTCCTAGCTACGCCCATGATTACAGCTGCTATTCCATCTCCGTCTGGAAACTTTGAGAGGCTGTATCTTCTAAGGGGTGAACATTTTACTAAATTTATTTTTATGCAAAATTTATTCTTTTAGCTGTATAAGCAATAAAAATACATATTAAACCACACTGTTTTGTGCGCGTTTCTTTTGTATGATTCCTTTAAATATTCTTTTGTAGGGTATGAGCGAATACGAACGTATACGAAGGGCATGTCTGAAACGCGGCGAACTTTGGGAAGATCCCGACTTTCCTGCGACTCAAGCCTCAGTATTTTACCACCAGACGCCGCCATTTCAATTCACGTGGAAGAGACCAAAAGTAAGTGTATATATCATTAGGTACTCGATAAAACTTTTTTCTTTGTAAGGACTACCTATTTTCCGTTGATTGTATTGTCAGAAATAATCTTTATTTATTTACACCGGCCTTTAAAATTGAATATAATTGCTTATTTATGCGCTTGCAGAGGTTGTATAACAGTAACAGTTAAAATTATGATATAACTGAATATATGAATGCGCAATAACTCCTTTGCAATTCCGAAAGAAATATGTTATATTCATAAAATACGCAAACGGCTTAGCTAATGCATATTTGTGCTCGTAAATAATCAATTAAAATATATATCTACATATATTTAGAATCGGAACCTTAACGCTGCCGTAGGAAATAAAAAATTGAACGGGTTTACATTCCAGCGCAAACCGCATATCTGGCGATAGATTTTAAGATTCTGTGTATTGGATTGTGACCAGTTTTATTGAATTTATGAAGAATTCTAACATTCTACCGTAGATGTTTAGATTAAAATTATTTTATTGTGGCTATAGCATGCTATTTCTCATTAGTAGACCATTCACGCTTCGATTGTAGTTTTCTACCACTAAAATTAAAGTTTCTGAATTTTCAGCTGTTTCTATCTTCATTTCATGGCATTTCTAGACGCGTACCTACTACAAAATTTTCTTTTGCAATTCTTTAAAGTTTGTCGACGTGTAGAAAAATAACCAATATTTTGTTTTCGCATTTGGAACTAAATGTTTTGGGGGACGTAGAATGATCCCAAGCCGTTATTTTTTCAATAAATAAAGTCCGTGGTGTGGTGTTCGTGTTAACAAGAGAATCCAGACACACTAGGTATACATATAAGTTTTGGAAAATTCCCTTTTTATTTATTGCTCCTGTAGGTAACTTTATACATTATGCAGTCTAATATGTATATATCTATCGGGTGCTTCAACTGCACTAACAGTATCTACGGGCCACGGCCTAAAAGAAAGCAGCGTATCATATAATATGCGACATACATATCTAGTATCAAGTTTCACTAGTGTGTCGCAAAGAACGGCCTTATTTGCTGGTATTGAATTCTATATGTGGCACCACCATTTTACTCGCTCAAACGAGAATAGTATAAAAGCAAAATGGATACAGCGGAATGCGCACCAGTGCGTGGTTGTTTACATCGACTAGCTTACAGGCTGGCCTCGACTCGACGACGGCCGACAATACGAATACTTAAATCTGGGAGAAAATTTTCTCCGCTACCTAAACAAGCACAAGATTTCCAGAAGAAAGTACTCTTCTAGTCAAGCAGCCTTCTTAAATTTCACTGAAATCTTTTGAGGGAAGCGAAAAGACGAAAAACTTTAACTCGATAAGTAAATGGACAGCGAATTTATGTTTAAAATACTAGTACTCTAAAAAATGGTTAACGAGATAAATGTTCTGAAGATTGTCCTTGTTAGGTATTCTGATATTCTGGGTTCAATAAAAAAAAGTAAAATCATTTCTTGACAATTCTATATTTACTGCGATAGCGGCTATGTTTAATCTAGCCATACTGTAGGTATTATACTGGCACACATGCATGCTTTTGTTTTCGTTCTTCAATTTACAAAACCTAATCTTAGCAACACATCCGGCTGACGGTGGCTGGAAAGAGCAAAATTTAATCTTCTATCATCTGTTGCTTAGTTAATTACAAATGTCTATCATAAATATCTAAATAAGGCCGTTTAGAAAAAAAGAAATGTAAGTGCCAAACCAGAAAGCAGATTCGCTGGAACTAAAGCTATTAATCATTTTTGTTATTAATTTTTTTAATGTATTTCAGATGATATTAAAAGGATAGGTAATGTGTAACGTGTAACAAAAGAATTTAGAAAAAACATTTTATTTGATTCACGTTTTACGATTGGGATTACAGTAACTGTTTTGTTTTCAATAGATTCAAAGGCAATAAAATAGCAAGTAGGTATTCATTGATAAAAAAATGTAGGTACCTACTTAAATTTTATTCCATATACAATATCTTATAATTTTCCAAGGTATTTGTCCTGTCTTCGTTCTTAAACACTCATTAAATTTCATGTTTTCTTTACGTAGTGGAAAAAAATAACTTTTAAAGGTGAAATTGTACAAGAAATAAAAGGAAATAAGTATCTATTGTTCCGAAATAGAATCTGATTGTTTCTGAATATCTTCCTTCTCAAGGATGTTGTGAAAAATGATATGATTCTAACGCCACATTGGAAATGAATTGACTGAAGAGTTTAAACAGGTGCCCATTTTGGAAAAGATTATGAGTAAAGTAACAAAAATCTAAAAGCACGAGATACATTTTCCATAAATGTCTGCCCGAAGACTGGGAAAAAAATTATGTCATAGTCACTGTGTCGCTGAATTTCTCTTTGGTATCATGACGTAGCTTCGTAAATAAAAATATAAATATTGTATTTCTTAGATCTTACGGAGAAATATAAACAAACATTTAAGCTGTAACAATATCAAGGTCTACTTTTTACGTTCATATTTATAAACATATTATTTATTATTCCTTAATTATGAGAATACGACTAGCAACTAATTGTTTAATTTGAAACAAGTTTCTCCAGCGAATTAATTATTATCTACAATTTGCAGTCGTTTCGCGTTGTTTCTTTGTACAACACAATAATACCAAAGTATGCTTCTACTTCTGCATATTGCAGTAAAGAACTGATCAGGGGGGTGTACTTGATGAATTTTATCTGTAACTCTAAACTCACTATCGTTGTGGTGCGCTTTTCTTGAATCTTGATAAAAAAATTGCACTAATAAATAAGGTTAGGTTAGTAAAAAAATAAAATGTATTCGCTATATACATTTTTTAATTTAACTGTCGAACTTATGCGTTATTTGTATTACCTAATTACACCGAAGCTTCGACTCTGATGACGTTTTATGAAACAATCAAATCTGCTCGGGCAGATACAACACTTTCCAGTTTTGAACCATTTGCAAAAACTCGAAATTATGTTTATAAAAGTACCTAATAAGTCGACAGGTAGATTTTCGAGTTTTGTCCGAATGAGGAACGGGTTTCGATATTTCTGGTACGAACACTCTTTCGTGGGACAACAATCTCGTTTAAGATTCGTTGCAAACATCGTGGGTTTTTGTGGACGTGACGTGGGCTTCAAAGGACGTTCACTTTTAACGTAACGAGCAGGCGAATTTGTCTGCTAACCTTTAATAAAACATGTACCTACAGTTGGTTTTTATTGTGATTTGTAATAGCTACTTACTGGGATAATAAAATTGCAAGTCATAAGGAAATGTAGTTGTTACATCGACATAATCTATGGTTTAGTAGCTTCGCCGGAGGCGATGTCTTCTGTCAGGATCTTGTAACGAGTATGAATGATTTGACTGTATGCTGTATAGGTATTTTTATTTTTCATTTGCCATTTGAAATTGTTCCAAAATTATATTTAAATTCCACTAAATTACATCTTTTGTCTGAGGTTAAGGAGAAAAAGAAAGCAATAATAGAAATTTCAGCTTATTGAAGTCTAGAGACAGGACCACAACAATTTAACTCAAAACTTGTAGGGTTGTAGGGACTTAATTAAGGAAATAAATAGGGAATATTGTTAAACCGGAAATGAAATAAAAGCGCTCTTGGAATTAAAACAGTTATACTTAATACGTTGTATTTCACCTCAAATTAATCTAAACAACTGGGCATACCTCCACCGCCTCCGAGAATAACCTTATTTGCTGTCAAGGATACCTTTAATTAACTTTAGATTGCATTATTGCGAGAATAACGTTAGCATAAATGTAATTTCAGGAGAGGTGGTTCAAAGAAGATTCCACCCATTTATAACGTATTTAAGAAATGGGAAATGGCATTGGCATATTAATCGTAGGTTGTGCAGTGTTGCAGCCAACTCAAGTGAATACAAGAGTCCATAACTTCATTCACAAGAGAGATAGAAAACATTTTTTGTCCATTATTTAACTTTGTGCGACAGTTGATACTGATGTGGTGTGCAGCTTTTTATAACTTGTGCAGCATGTTAACTTTACCAAGAACGAGAAAACAAAATGGCCGACAAAAATACGTAATGTCACCGAAGGCGAAGTAATATTTCGTTAATAAAATACCGATAGGTCTTTACAAGATATGTGATATTAGCAGATTAGTCGGCTTATTTTTAAAATGACGGACAATTTTTTGATTAACGCTCTTGCTATGTAGGTACCTATACCTACCTTGATATATATTGTATTGTATGATGTTTTGAAAGATTCTAAAGCTGATTCCTAGAATTTTTATGCATTTTGAACGGACAAAGACGTCCTTCGAACAATAGTCAAAAAATTGTTTCTCTATATCTTCCTTTGTATATAGGTAAGGGACGTTATAGATCTGTATTTATTAGAAAGTGAAACACTGCACATAATAAAACTTAAAGCGATATATTGTTTTTAGGACTTATGTGCTAGACCAGGATTTGTGCAAGATGGACCAGCGCAGTTCGATATTAGCCCTGGAAAGATGGGTAAGTAGATATTAGATTTTGCAATGGCTGGTTGCCACGTCGTCGATTTACAGAAGCTCAGAAGTCTGAAAAAGAGAGCGATATGTCTCTCGAAACGTCGGGAGTTGTAAATCGACGACGGTGGCAACCAGCACGGAAATCATTAAACCAAAAATTCTGATGGGACTTAAAAACCAGTAAACTAGTTAAACAGTAGGTACGTAGATTATTTAAAATTCCTGGAAATAAAATATATTGATATTTTCAAGGTTTACTGCGAAATTTTTCAAAGCTTTTATTCAAATTTTTTCGTACGAACTTATCTACGGACCGTAACAATAATTAGGTACCATGTACATTGTACAGAGGTGAAAGTTCTTATACATTCCCGCCTATAAGCAACTCCCAAGTGTTTAAAGAATAAATGAGCAAAGTATGTACCATGTTTCATTTCTGCTATGATTAGGTTCCGAACAAGGACAAGGTTATCGAGTAGGTAGTTTACGGTGATGTTACTTTCATCTTGACGATGACCTGAACGACAAACACACCGAGGAATCTAAAGTTCATAAACTGATAGGTACCTGTCGATAGATTGGTTATAATAATATGACAAATTTCCTTTATTTAACACATGTGTGACAACTTTGGCACTTCTCAATAACAAAATGTAAAAAACTCTCCCCGCGTGTCAGCACGGCCGTCTATATGTCTATATTTTTCGTTGTTTCACAAGATTTCTTTAGGTTTCTAGAAACATCATGAAACAGATAAGTAAACAAGTCTGCGGGGATAAAATTGCATGCTTGCAAAAAAATGGCATTGTCTGATACAGGCTTAATTGGTTTTATTTAATAATAAAGAATTGCTAATTCTAAAATCATCGCCATCTTTCAAAGAAATGTAGATATTCATTGTAGTAGTATACAATAAAATTTGTTACACTGACGAAATGATCTGTTCCTATGCTAAAGCCGGATACCTAGGTAAAGCGAAATAATATTGATGAAAGGGACAACCAGAACATTAAATGATTCCATTAAATTGCATTTGATCAACTGAGACAGCTTTACAAAAGCGAGTGGGAGACGTTGCTTAATGGTGACGAATCGAGGAATCCTGTCACTTTCACGCTTCTCTTCGATCATTGCAACTAGTTGTTTGATACTCGGTAATGCGCAATGATACGAAAGTCTACAGGAGGAAATGACTATTGCAAAACTGTAGCTAATCCGCGTTTAGCGTAAACGCTTTAATTTTCAACCGACACCGCGTTGAAGTATGACAAACGACAACTTTCCCCTCTAAATATTAGCGAAGCATTAAAATTCTGACCGCCGATATCTCCGGAAACTTTTATTTGTCACCACCGGATGCTAATATCCACTGTTAACTTCTAGGGATGAATGTTAATGTGAACATAACGCAGTAGTACCTTTTAGGAAATTCATTATTGTAACATTATGCAAATTTGATAACGCGGTGTTCTTCAACTGCTTTAGAGAATTGTTTACTATAAGTTTTAAGTTATGGAGTACCTTAAATTTTTTTTCTCGAAATGATCTACATAAAATTTATATTTATATATTTTATATGTATTATGGCCGACAATTTTTTTTGGTATTACTGAAAGCATGACCGTAAATCTAGATATAAATATAAACGGATTTAAGTTTCCCGAAACCGAGTAATTCTTATTACATGAAAAAGGTTTGCTCTTTAAACCTGGAAACTCTTCAATTTGAAGATGTTACAATTTCAATTGGGTACCTATACGTCCCTTTATAAATTAAACAATTTAAACTTTTAGGAGATAGGTGGCTGGTGTCCTGCCTCGGCGTTTTGTACCTGAACAAAGGGCTGTTCTACAGGGTGGTGCCCGCGGATCAGTCCTTTAATGGAGAACAATACTCGGGAGTCTTTCGGTTCCGGTTATGGTGGTGTGGCGAGTGGACGGAGGTCCTTGTGGATGATCGGCTGCCAACCGTACACGGAAGATTAGCCTTCCTTCAGTCGCAACACTCCGACCACTTCTGGCCCGGTTTATTGGAAAAGGCTTATGCAAAGTAAGTATAAAATACCTAATTATGTTTATAAACAAATCTTATAGATTCTTACTTCTAAGCAGACATACAAGTTACTACCAACTGTTAACTGTACATAGGTACACGCGAGTTGCAGATGCTCCAATTGTGTATTATATAATTTTAAAAACAGTTAAACCACCTCCTTTTATGGTCCGGTATTAAAACAACGTATTTAATAATATTCAATTCATATAATATCTATTCTATTCTAAGCTTCTAACAAAATGAAAGAAGGAAATAGAACATATTCTATTAACTAAAACAGAAACAGAAATACCTACGTCAGGTATGGTACCAATTGACTAAAAAACAACTATTTTGAGTTATAATAATGCATTACCTTTATTCATCACAATTTGCAGCGGTGTATATCCACTATAGCTACTTTTACTTTTACTCTTAAACCAGTTTCACCAGAAGTTATGAAAAATATTACGTAAATAGTTTATAATTAATTAATACATCCGACTTCGAAATTACTGTGGGAAGTTCATTAACGTCAACAGGTGGTTGTAAACGATTAACACTTCTCTTCTGAGTCTGAGCTATTTTATAATTATTATATAAGTGGTCGCGCCAAGTTAACATTGTGTGAAATTCCAGCCGGAATCGAATAAGGTGGAAGTTTTTTATGCGATTAGTTAATAAGTAAGTCTGATATTCACCGAAAAAAGTATGCAACTGCGCAATTGATTTTCACCCAAGAGACATTTTTCTTTGTTTCTGTGTTTCTGATATGGTCGATATACTTTCTAAAATATTTAGTTCTCGACGATGACCATTCTACGACATATCAGGATGGCCAGATGGAAAGTAGACTGTAAATTATCATTTCTAGTACGAATATATTCTTATTGGTATAAGTATAGTACAAAATTTCCTTTATTTTGTACAATCCGATACACGAAGTTAACAAACTTTGACAGTTCTCAATAACAAATATCAACCTCCACAAAAACTCTCCCCACAATGGCGCGGCTGTTTTTGAATTTTTCGTTGTACTCGACATGTCCATGGGTTTCTAAGAAAATGCAGCATAGAACAATAGGTATGTAGTGTAGAACTTCTTCATGAAACAACTTAATTCATAAAAAAAATCGCAGTACAAAACTCAAAGCAGGTAGAAGAATATATTAGAAAGAAATAGATCAAATTCTAGAAACATGAAACAAAGGGCGACATTTGGTACAGTATTATAACCAGTGGCGGCCTGTGGGTTTGAGTACAGGGAGGGTGCATTTTGAAAAGAGAAGATATATGATAAGAGCTGCGGGGGGGTGCAGGCGAAAAATTTTGCGGAATTTGAAGGTCGTTGTATTTTGCAAGTACCCCAAAATGAATACTGTCAGTGTGTAGGTCCAGTACTTAGATACAATGCGAGAAGTAAAATTCCAACATGCGGGGGCTGAAGTGGATAATCGATCAACCAACCCAGTTAGGATATAATTATGTAGATTACTGTAATAGTTCATTCTGTATAGTTTTTGAAGTTCCTTTAAAAACATGGGCATCACTAATAGCTGTTTTACATTGACAATTTATTCATGAATAAATTGACAAAGTTCTTCATGAATTAATTCACGAATTTATTGGTAAACAGTGTGATTTTATACTGCTACAGACTTTGTCAAGTTTTTCGACGCATGAATCAGTTCTACCAACAAATCAAAGAAGCAAATAAATTTCAAAAATGTCACCTTTCCACTTATAATTTTAATAATACAACAGCGGTATCGTTTTAACACAAATTATATAAATATTTGTTTTTGTAAGTAACAAATTAGTAAAAACAATGCTAAACTAGTACGACACCACACAATATAATTTACATATTCCAATAACATAACCTCATTACTAATCTGAGACTGGAAATCTGTTGTATTGATACTTCTGAATTTGACAAAGAAATTGATGAAAATTAGAACATATTATAATTGAATGAAGTTATTTGACAGCAGATTTGGTGCATTACACTTGTCTAATTTCTTGATGAAGCGACTTCATGAATTAATTCATCAATAAATTGCCAATATAAAACAACTATAAGATGTTTATCTAAAACGGGATCAATTTTTGAACTAGTCTATCAGTTCTAAAAATACCCCTTTGTTTACCGAGTCACTTTTGTCATTATGTCCACGAAGAGGAAGGTTACATGTACCACAGTTTTATATTTATCTATAATTTTTGAAAGAAGCAATCGATTTTTCTTAACTGTTTCGTTATGACTACTTATTTGTTCTGCATAAGTACTACTTAAACAAGAAGCAATATTTACTCTTCCTAAAAGTAAAAAACTCACCAAGTTATTCTTGAGTTTAGAATTTTCATGCTTCTTAATTTTGTCCGGTAAATGTTTAAAAGTCCAAATTTCGTCCAGTTTTCTTCGCCTCCTCCAAACCTCCAATTTGTCCAATCATAATATGTAAAAATATGCTTGCTAGATGGACTCGGATTTCACCGTCCGCGATGGAGTGGGGATTGCGCGCACGGTCAAACATAACTCTTTGGTACGATCATAAGATGGCATTAATCTGAGCTACGTTCACGAAGTACATGCACTTTATGCAACCAACATAACATCCAAGACATATTGAATGCATGCTATTTAGATTTTTTATCGATTTAAATAAATAATTTTAAATTTACAGTTTGAAAATATCTGGGGGGGGGGCGGAGTCCCAGTCAAATAGCCTCCTAATAATTGCAACTGCAACGAAATCTGCAATGTATTTTACAATAATTAGATAATTTTACATAATTATGTCTAATCCAAATTGAGTTTGCTACGGTAACCGTAGAATAGTTATGCAGTAGAATACCCAATTATTTTTCTACTGAATTACACAACAAGAAGTCTGACTAATCTTTATTTTTTCGGGCCTTGTCCAATGGAAGTTTAATTCAACTAGATATAATTTTCCCGTCTTCGATAACTTGGAGAATTTTCACAGTATTATTCACGATATTTTCATCGCACTATCTATTTTCCAGTTGTTTAATTACCTACCACTTATTATTATTACTAGCATTCCAGTTATTTTAGAAAACCATTTTAATAATAACTTATTCAGTTCGTTGATTTTAAAATGATTTTTTGTATTATAGAAAGTTCACGAACAGCAAATGAGGGGAAGAGGTCTTACCACTTTTAGATTTGGGTCCAGGCACACCTCAAAATGCTAATCTCCCTTTTCTCAAATACAATCAATTAACTTTAAATAAAGAGAATATGTACTACAATTTTGCATGAAATTCAAGGAATATCTAATTCGAATTTACCTTTTCCAGATTACATGGATCTTACGAGGCCTTGAAATATGGTTCGATGCTTGACGGCTTAGCTGACTTAACTGGAGGAATCACAGAAAGTATTCCAATCAGGCAAGATGCGACTTCATGTGCCAGACTCTTACACAAACTCTTAGATATGACTTCGATAATCACCTGTTCGGTACAACCCCCGAATCAGGTCAGATCTCACACGGAGAAGCTAACAAATGGCGTGCAAATAGGCATAAATTATCGGATATATTCGATAGAAAGAATTGAATCGTTCAACGGCGAGGCAATCCAATTAATTAAAATAAGAAACCCCCTGGGGCAGTCTTCTGAGTATACGGGGTCCTGGTCGGTAGATTCCCAAGAGTGGTCAGAGACGCCACCTCACGAATTGGAAAGAATTCAGGGGAAACTTCAGGAGGGCGAGTTCTGGATGCCCTACTCCGATTTCGTGCAAACCTTCACTCATTTAGAAGTGGTCCACTTGGACAATGATACTAGCAGGGACGAACCCAGTTTGCACCATAAAAGCACGTGGCAAATGAGACTGTACCAGGGGAACTGGCAAAAGGGGGTGTCCGCGGGAGGTTGCCGGAACAACCCAGACACGTTTCACATAAACCCCCAACTCCATTTACTTTTAAGCGAGATGGAGGAGGTGGTCGTCTCGCTGAACCAACACAGCATAATGGAACCCAAAGTCATAGGATTTACGTCGTACTCATTACCAAAAAGCAGCACTGAAACGATAGGTAAGGCATTTTTTAAGAAGAACAAATCGCTGTTCAACTCCCAGTACACAAACAGCCGGCAAGTCAGCCACAGGTGCCAGTTAGAGCAGGGGGGTTATTTGATAATTCCCACCACTTTCGAACCCGGGCAGGAATCGGGATTTACCCTGAGGGTATATTCCAGCAAGCCTCTGAAGTTGAAATTGCTGGATACGGTTCCCTTGTTGGTTAAGTCGGCAATTGTGAAAGCTCCACCGCTTCTGGACGGTAAAAGTTTTAGTCAGTACGAAGCCGTCTTTCTGCAGTTGGCCGACGAGCACAGGACTGTGAACGCATTCGAACTACAGGAGTTATTGGACGCTTGTTTACCTAATGATTACATAAAGAGCTGCGCATCGATAGAAGTTTGCCGGCAGATCGTTTTAACATTTGAGGTGAGTACAGTCTGCCTCGTTAAAAAATGTCTGATGAAAAAAATAAAAATCTTTTCTTTCAAATATCTCAAAAACTGCTTGGTCGATTTTGATGAAACTCTTATTCACGTTTTATCTATTAAATTTTCACGATTAAAACCTGTGGCACCCTGTGTGTTAACTGTTTTATATCTGTTCCATGTACATTAATAATTATCTAAAAAAATAAAAATAACAATATAATTAAATAATGTGAACTTTGAAGAAATTACCTCTTCCTTTTTCTAACATCGCCCCTTTGACAAATGATAAACTCGCATAATGAGGCACTTAATTAATATTTTAGCTCTTGTACTTTTACTCAACTGTAAAAGGTTTGACGAGAAATAAAATAATTAAAAGAGACATTGCAAGAGAAATTTAATGCTGGACGGAGTATTAGTCGGCAGAGTAGTTGTTCCCTACATTCATCATTGGCCTACCAAAATGTCTATACTTGATTTGAATTAGTTTTCAACCTGTGAATGTTAAGTAAATGGTGCAAAAGCTAATATAAATAATTTAAAAAATTACAAATATTAAGTTATTTATAATTTTATAGACTTCTGGCACTGGAAGGTTGAAATTTAGCGACTTTAAAGACTTGATGTGTAGCCTCAAATTTTGGCAGACGGCTTTCAAGAATCATACGAAGGAGAAGACGGGAATTTTGAAGGCCGAAAGGTTGCGAGATGCCCTGCTGGAGGTCGGATTTCAACTAAGCAGTGACGTTTTAGCCACCTTGATTTTAAGATACATGAGGAAGGACGGGACCCTCCGATTTGGCGATTTCGTTTCGGCCATATTACATTTAACCGTTTCATTTAGTGAGTATGCACCATCAACTATTTTAATTGTGTAATTTACCAGAATAGAATTGAAAGTAAAATTGATGGGATCCGAAAATTAAAAATTTAAGAATCGCAGAGGCGGCCTTTGGGAAAAATATATATTTATTTCGAAATCCTAACTAAAGTCCAGTAATACCGTTAATAGCGACTCAAAATTATATTAATGTGAACCGTTATAATTTTTTCATATATTTGCAGATATATTCGAAGCAAAGGACCCTCTCCAAAATGGAAGTATAAAATTAAATCTATCAGAGGTAAATTATTTCCCGTAATTTGTTTTTGTTTAGCGATCTATATATAATTTGAAAATTATTTCCAGTGGCTCAAATCGTCGTTGACCTGCTGAAAAGATTAGCCGTCAAGTTATCATCACGTAATTGTACATAATCATGTTTATATTTAAATTAATTCTTGTACCTTTAAGTTGTAAAATATTATACTATAAGTAAATTAAGTTATTAAAACCTCTTTTAACGTAAACGTATGTTGACAATTTTATTTCGACGTCTTTTCGCTTTTGTAAAAGATTAAATTTTCAGGCCAGCTGCGATTTGTATAAAAAAAAATAAATATATATATATATATATATATATATTCACTATAAGATTACAAAATGTGTATATGACGGGTAAGCATATTTTTTGGAAATCATCGGATCTACGTGGTATTTTTTTTTATTTAATATTCGACTCCACAATTACAAGGGTCTGGCAACTCCTTAGGCCGACGTTCTTCTCCCGATGCGAACACATTTCCGTAAGTATTCTTGAGGAAATTGACGTGTCCCTGAAGATTTCTGATCCTCATCTGGGCATCCTCAAAGTTCTCGTTTAGGTTATTTATCTGCGCTTGCATCTTCTGCCTGATTTCATCCCTGTCCTTCTGAGCCGTTTTCGCCAGCGCCCTGCTTTGCGCCAACTGCCTCTCCAGGTCGTTGATCTGATTTTGCATGGACCTTCTCACGATCTCGCACCGGTCCTTGGTTCTTGCCACTTGTCTGGCGGTTTCTTCACGCACATTCTCCAGTTGGCTCTCGAGCTGAGTGATCTCATGGGCTCTTTCGCCAGCCAATCTCTCGAATTCGTCGCATTTCTCTTGCAGTTCCTCCAGCTCTTTTCCCAACTTATCGTTCTCTTCTCGTAATTCGTCCAGATTCCCTTCTAGCTCTTTTATCCTAGTCCTTAGTAACTCCTTTTCGTCTGCTCCTGACATTTGATCGTTTTTGGCCAGGTCCATCTGATCCGTCAGCGCGGCGATTTTGTCTTTGTACTGCTGTAACTCCCTGGCGATGGCCTCGTTATTGCGCTCCGCTAGAAGATGCATTTGTTGAGCTTCTTGCAGCTTCATCTGGGTGGATTTCAGTATGTCGGGAAGCGGCATGAGTTCCGTGAGTTTCTCTTGGAATTGGTTTTTCACACGTTGGATTTCCAGATTCACTTGCTCGCCGATGCGCTGATTTTCCATTTCCATCATGTCTATCGTTCTCCTCTGCTCTTCTACTTGTTGCTGCGCCTCCAGGTACTGAAACACAAATACGGTTAATTTCTTTTACTATTGTCGATACGTATAGAGTAAAATACTTTTCTTTATTTATTGGGTACTTTACCACTTGTGAAGAAAAAAGAAATAAAAATGGATCAAAGGTTATTTTTTTTATGGGAATAGTTTTGCCAAAGTTAAAAGTATCGAAATTAAATTATTTTTTTTCTGTACCTTATTTCTGTAATCATCCAATTGACCTTGTTGATCCTGAACTAACGCCCGCAATTCCTCCAGTTCGTCTTGTGCCTCGCGGAATCGTTGTTTTGCGACCACTAGTTGCTGTTCCAAGTCGATCTGTTGTTCCTTGCCGCCGGTCTACGGCAATCGTTACTATTATTATTTAACAATAACACGATTACATCGCTCACTACCTTTTTGTTTCCCTTGTACTTCTTCAATTCGGCCTCGACCTCTTTTAGCTTAGATTCTGCGGTTTTTTTCGCCTCGTCTGCTATTTTGGAGACGTCTTTTAACTTTTCATTGTCAGTTCGGAGACCCGCCACCTCGGTCAGCTTGCCTTTGAAATCGTCCTGGAGCCTGTTGTATTGCTCCTTTAGTTCTCTTAATTGTTGTTCCGGTGAGCCCTAAACGTACAAGCAGAGTCGAGTCGAACGCAATTTATTAGTTTCAATAACGAAACTGGTGGTAACTCGCGATGGTATTAACGTTTTAGTTAAAAACATTTTCATCTGACCGATTTGGTATTTACCACAAGTTTTTTAATATTTTGTTCTAACTACCTTCCCGCATTCGCAAGGCGAAGACGGACTGGGGGGCGGCATACAAGGGTACGGACCGCATGGCGGTGGTGGGTAGCATGGCGGAAGTGGGCCACAGGGCGGCGGCGGCGGCACGCATAACATTTTTCGGTGATGTTCCAGGTGTTCCCGCTCTTTCTGTACGGCCAGCAACTCCTCCTGCATGTTTTTTACTTCCGACTCCATATCGCCTAACTGCTTTTCCTAAAAAATAAGAATTTTCCGAGACATATAGGCGCTACATAAAAAGTGGTTCTTTGGGAGACGATGTTTGATCAACGTAATAACTAAATGATAATGTAGTATCGGAACGCTCTGTATATCTTGGATATACAGGAACCAACGGCCTACCAAATGTTGCGTGTTCTCAGAGTACTGATCCAGCCGAGCTTCTATGTCTGCAGGACAAACTCCTTTGCCTCTACCACACGGCATCTTGTTACTCCTAGTAGGCGAGGAGGAGCGGCTGGCAGGAGTGCAAGTTGGAGCGGCCATTCCACTCTGCAAACAATCAACGTTCAGGAATTCGTTTCCGACTATTTATAATTTTATCTGAATTAAGAATGACCACGTAAAATTCGTTTCTATAATAAAAACATAATATTATGCAACGTCGTATCCCAAATGTACCTGCAATTTTTGGTTCAGAAGAGCATTTTCCTTGCAAACCATGCGCATCTCATTCTGCAGGTTAGCCAGCTGCCTTTGAAGACACTCCACCGTTTGGTCCTTATCGATAAGATCGGATTGCAACTTATACCTGTTGAAAAATTGTATCCGCTTTGTATAGTGTGTATAAAAGAAATATGTGGTGAATAAATGCCAACTGTTGTATTTTTACGCGTGAATATGAGAAATTTTTTCAGATGATGATCATCTTTAGTGCCAAACTTGATGTTACGGTGACAGACCCAGAGAGAGTGATTTGTTCGAACATAAAATTGATAAGTCTGTCAAGCATTGGATACAGTGTAGATAAACCAACTAAGTATATCTCATAGAATTTATATTTATACTTTAATGAACACCGTTATTATTATAAACACCTTTTCCCTTCTAGGTCTGCGTTCTCCGCTGCTAATTTTTCCTGCATGCAGTAGCACTGGCTTAATTTTTTCGCTATTTGTGGGGCCAGCTGGAAGAAAGTAAAATCAATACGTTAACCCCTTGAACATAATTTTACTAACCAATGGTGAAGTAACTGAAGTAGGTGGGGCCCCGGGTGCAGCGGTCGGTTGGCATTTGGGTGACTTTTTTTTCCCGTCACATACAATAAATTTCGGCATGTTGTCTTCAGTCAACCCACATACTACGACTTTAGGGAGCATGTCTTCTTTATTCTTCCTCTGCAAGAGGGGCTTCACAGGTATCATGTTCTCGAAAAGATTGCTTTGGGCTATCAGTTGTTGAATTCTCTTCGTTTTCTCCTCGAATAGTACCATCTGAGCCTTGAGTTCTTTGTTCTTTTCTTCCAATTCTTTGGCCTCCGACTCCGTCATCTTTTCCTTCTGCAACAATTCGCCCACTCTGTTTTTCAAGTCATTAATTACAGCCGCCGTTTCTTTAGCTTGTTTCTCGGCATCTTCCAGTTCTCTCAGTATGGCCGCATCTATTTCTGGATTAAATTGGAAAGCTGATCCTCCACCGACATCTTTGCCTATGAAGAAACAATATACATATATGTAATAAATTTTGTCTATTATTCTTTCCGTTTCTATTACGAATTGGAAAATGGTTTGAGGTGGCACCTCGTGTTTATAATTCTATTGCAGATTTTACATTCATTTTCTACACGTAAATATGACCAATTATGTTTTAATTCATATATAAAATAAGAATGGGTGCAGGTAAAACGGTCATATACAAATATATCTTTCTGATATAATGAAATAAAAAAAAATGGATTAAAAATCTTTTTTTTTTCAGTTAGTAAATTAAGTTATTTTTAACCTACCTTCACCCTTCCCTTCATCCTGCTTCTCCGGTGGAACATCATCTGGCGTCTAAAATAAATTTTAATGTGTCAAGTAACACGCTTTTTCAATTTTTTGTATATATGTAGATATAATTAATATTACCTGAAGGGTCTTTATCATCTCCTGGTTTTCTTCCACAACTTGTTGGAGCTCCTCGGAGGCTTCTTCTATCATCCTACCAACTTCTGCCATTTCCTCATCCTGTGAATTTGTAAAAGTATGTTACTATTTAATATATAATATTTCTCAAATTAAATCATAAATTCTCCTCAAGTATCTAATAAAATAAAAAAAAAATTGATAACACAAAACGACTAAAAATTTAAAAAACAATAAAGCAGAATATATCAGACCACCCATATAATTTCCTTAACAAAAACAATGTTATCTTTTTTTTGTATCGATTTTCACTTTCATATAAGTAGCGTCTAAGGTCTGATTTGAATGTAAGAATGAATTTGGTATATTTAATAATAAATTATAACAATAATAGTGCCTTTAGAGTCACTGAACACTGAATTCTCAATTCTGTGACTCTACCTTAAAGGGGCATGCAGTGACCTCTATCGTCACATGCTGAAAGGACCTGTTTCTCGGCCGGGCGCCTAGATGGCCCAGGACGCTCTCTTGCTGTATCTCTAGCGTTCATTATTCACTATACATTACTTGAGATGCGTAGATAAAAAATAAGTAAAATGTCGCCGAATCAATTTTCCTGAAAAATTGAATAGCAAAGACCACATACTTTCTGTGCTGTTAAACAACTTTTTTTTTGTTTATGAAAATATTTGATTTTTGCAAACGAGTTTTTATGCAGTTTTTGGCATAAAATCCAATGTACGCGATACTTTTCTATAATTTATGTACCTATTTATGTATGATATATGTCAGTTATAAGCCATACTTTTATTTTTTTTAATGACATGTTTTTCGACTTCGACAAATTTGTTTTTAGCTCAACTGTGTTTTGATACACCATATTATGGATGCATCTGATGATGGAAAAATTAAATTATATTAAAAAATAGTCAAATTACGAACAATGTTCTGATATTCATTGAAAAAAAACAGTGTAAACAATGATAATTATGTATGACACCAATTTCGAGAAACCGCTCAAAAGACTAATTCCAACGACTTTGGATGGCATCTGACATAAAATTCTTCAATTTACATGTTATGCTCCAGCTATGTAGAATGAAATACATATTTAGAAAATTAAGGTGAACCTCTCGTGATTAATAGCGTCGCCTATATAAGTGTGTGTTTAAGGCAGGTACACATTTTCTTGACTGAATTAATTCTGATATATTGTAATGTTAATATTATTTTATATTTCAATGATCAACTCACTCAGAAAATCATCTTATCTGAGTACGTTCTATTATATACATTTTTTTCTTTAATTTCATTAGATGAATAACAAAATAATATATGGACATTAGGGATCATTCATGATAAATTTTTGCACGTAAATTCATTAGAGGTTCACTCCAACATTCCCTTATTAATTTATTTTATTTTATATTTACCTCCTCTTCTGCCGCACCACTCTCTTCTCCAGATTCTTCTCCACCTTCTTGTATACTTGCATCTTGTCCCTTCACATCTTCGGCCTCCTCACCCACCTGACTTTGTTCATTGTATTCTTCCTCGGCTCCATCAAACTCTGTACCGTCTTCCATTTTGCCAGAACCACTTTTGAAGCTTTTATCTTTTTCACTTTCTAGTATATCATCTAACCTCTTTCTCAAATTATCTTGTATTTTAGGGGTTCGATTCTCGTCTGAAACTTCTTCTACCTCCTCAAGTTCACTGAGATAAGGATTTCTAGGAGAACAATCTTTTGATGGTTCACTTTCCGATTCGCTAACTGGTTCCCCTTTCTGTTCGGATGAGAAGAGTTCTTTTACAAATAGTTCTTCCTTCTTGGCGGCGGAAGTGGCGCAGTTTAGATTAGAAATAGAATGTCTGTTGGGAAGTCTGGGGGAGAGCAAAGTCTGCTTGGATCTTGGCCGTCTCTACGATTAGACGATAATTACTTATTACTATTTATTAACTTTTCACTGTTTGACGTGCCTTAATGAATGCTTTATTTCAGAACACTTTTTTCTAACCATTTGAAATCTCTTATTAGTTAAAAAAGGTTTTGAAATGGATTATATATCGTTCTATCTAACTTTGATTTAATTTCGATATATTTATGTAAATAATCTGATAGTTTATTCGTAGATAAATAAAAAACAATGTAGGTAAGCATATTGGCAAATTAACACTCCTATTGTGTGTTTAATTTAAATCTGGAAACAGTTAAGTACTGGATGAGAGACTTACCCTGGCGATGCTATCAAACGATTTCGCGGTTTTCACGAATCGACTCTGTAAATTTAAATCACGTATGATATCCAACGCACCGTAATTCCTCAATGATTTTTTAAAATAAGAATCTGCATCACCAAAATGACCGGATGGTCTTCGGAAAAGGTTATTGTACGTTTGCAGGAAGTTGATATTTTTTTGTATCAATGGGTTGCTGGCAATTTTCTTTTTCACTCTGTTTTCTAAACTATTATCTGTTTCAGAATCGAATCTCTTGGATATATTTTTTCCTGGAACTGTGAATTTCTGTCTGCTCTGAAATAATTTATTTCTAAACGACTGTCAATCAATCAATTTGTACGTCAAAATTTACCTTCATATCGAAATTTTTCACCTCAAAATGAAGATTCTAAACTGTTCCTGTCCTAATTTCCTAGAAATTCTTCTTGACACGACTAGACAGATAGATCCAATACGAAACTATAGACATTAAAAGTCTTATACAACAAAAAACTGAAAAAGTATTTGTCAACATAAAACAAACGTGATGACTAGTTTTTCGGTTCGAATTTTCGTATTTCAGCCTACATTTTAAGTAACATTAATTATTTCACGATTGTATATAATAATTTATATTACTTTAATATAATATCAACAGTCTAATCGTAAGTATACATATTACTGATTATTAATTAAATCTGTTTAGGAAATTTGGAATTAAGACTTATAATAGGATACAAAACTTAATGCAGCTTTTTTACTTTATATTTTTTTACCATCACCATAGGAATATCGGAAATTGATAACTATGTTATTTAAAATAATTTTTTAGCAAATTTCGTTTACATGCAGCGAAAATTAGATTTTTCTTAAGTACCTACGTACTTAGCTATTTTTATGCCAACAATATAGGTATATCTGATTAAATATCTTGTAAATGGAGTAAAGCATGTAAACAAGTTGAATAAATTTAAATGTAGTTATACACCTGTTATTCAAATCGTTAATATATACTTAAATTCGTATAACTAAATTAATTTATTAACTCAAGTTCGATTTATAGTGATTACTAAACCAACAGTTTTACTATTATTGCAACAGCTGCTGTTTTTCCAGTCCAGTCTATGACACCTTGAAAGTTAAAAAATATGGATTGTTTCATGTAATTTTTATTAATGCTTATAAAATAATGGGTACAAATAACTTTTCGTGCCCGTATACAATTTAGAAATCCGAAATTTAACATCAGGAGTTAGTTTTAACGCGATGGTTGGATTAATATAATTGACAATCATATTAGAAATCAAATAAAGAAATCCTCTTTGATCCATTGCGAATCCATCTGGCCACACCATAACGTCTCGATCGGTGTTCACAATTTTAGACGATACAAAGGGATCCCGTATATTCCAACTGCCTACCCCATAAAACGGTAGCAAAGTATAGTACAACGTACCGCTACTGTCCATCATCATACCGTCTGTTTGACTTTGCTTCTCACCGACGTATTGGATATTTTTTCTCCATCTGTCAGTTTTACATAGTTGTTCGTCCTTTAACACCGTTGTACTTATAGCGAATAAATGGAAACTCGTTATGGATGTATAAAATACCGTCCTATTTTCAGAAGATTCGAGAGGTTTCGGTGATAGAGCAATTCCATCTATAGGTATCAAATTTTCAATGGCTTTGTTGTTTACAACGAAATTCGCTGCAGCTGGCTCTGGAAACATCGTCCGATCCCGCACTTTCCAAGCACGATTTTTCTTCTTAGAATATACGACGAGACCAGGATCTATGTTAGAATTATCCGTTATATAAGCGAAACTGCCGTCAGAATCGTCGATGACAATGTCGTTCAAGAATCCTCCGTTCTGTAAACTTATCTCGTTGGGAAATACGAAGCTGTGCAACAAAGATCCGTTGTTGTTCAGATCGAAAAGCACAAGTTTCGTTGGACAATTTGTATTGTCGTTGATTCTCACTCCGTCAAGGACCCACATGATTCCATTGGTATCTATTTCCATACTCTGGACGCTCTGTAAATTCGTACAGTTGCACGCGTCGTTCGTTTCCCAATTAGGGAAAGGAGAAAGCAGTTCGTTTTTCGTCTTGGAAGTAGTACTCATACGTATGTATGCTAAAGTCACTGGAACACCTTTTCGAAATTTCGGCATCGACAAATACAAATTTTCATTATAAATTTTCATGCCCGTTGGTGCATTATGTTCGGGAATATAATCGCCGCTTTTCAAGGCTTCTGTATACCTTTCTACAGACGGCCATGTATAATTTAAATGGCTCCATTCATATTCAGTATCAAATCGGTAGTTAGGCGACAACGTTATGTGGCAGTCATATATTCGAGCAGCACAATAAAAGAAAACTAGATAGTGAATCAGTATACACTTCATAACAAATAAATAATGCGAATTGATGTTTGCGCGTGATATCGTATGTTGGCGGCAACTAAAGCGGAATGAATAACTCGAATGAAGTGTTCTTAGTTTATTTATTGGAGGTCTCGGCGTGTAGTAGTGGAAACCCCATTTTACTGATAGTAAAAAAGTTGAAACTCAACATTTAGATACCTACCTGCGCTATTTAAGTACTGTGGTTTGTCGATAACCTTAATAAATAAAATATATGCATGTAATAGTAATAACATTTCAAATAACAACTTTATGTAACTAAATCGTGCATATACCATGCAAACTAAATGTTCACCAGAAAAGCGTAGGTATTTTAGATGTCAATTCTTTGTAATGGCTGTTTTTTTAATTATAAAGTTTTAATTTAATATATTATCTCCTTTAATGTAATAAGATTTATTATTTATATTTACCAAAATTACTATAAAATATTTAATAAATATCTATGAAATATCCATAAGTATCTTAAAACTGTCTCAGTAAAACAGTAATTACCTATGTATTTTTAAATGACAGTATTTTTGTTTCTAAATGGGAAAATTAAAAAAGTTATTTTATTGTTACCTACTTAATTATCCTTAAGAACTAAACGATTTTTAGTATAAGATACTTTATACTTCAATCGTTTCAAAATAATATGAGTATCCTTTACCCGATTTTGATTATTTATACTTGAATTAAAATACTACGCCGTATAACTTTCTACTAAAGTAGGTATAACAACTAAATGATTCGGACGTGTTTTGCTGTACTAACTGTTACGACAAAGACCGGCAGCAGACCTAGAGGATTATAAAGATTTCCTAAAACCTCTTAATTTACAAATAAAAATTACAGATGCCCTTAAATATCAAAACGTGTAATTATATTATACTTACAGAAGATTCAGATGTGTAACTGAGCGAGGCAGGGGTGGATACGGCCCCCGTCCCCTAGAGAACCCGGTCCCGGTGCCCTCCCCAGAAGCAAAAAACGATTCAATATCATCTTTTTGGTCGAACTAGCTGGCTGGCCCCTCAAGGTCCACCCCAACCAAAAATCCTACCTATGCCCATGAGAATATTACAAAACACAGAACTATGTGGCAACCCACAATGCATAATAAATATATCGAAATAACTAGTTACTGTTCGTTCTACATATAAGAACAGTTGGAACAGTTTATGAAATGTTTTTGTTAGAATACAATTTTAAATTTTGATTTGATATTTTTTAGGAATTACTCTTATAAATCCAAAAATTTCCACGTTTAACAAAAAGTTCTATAAATCGTTAGTTGCTAATTACATTGTTCAGTAATTTTTTGATGTACCTATATGTATTTAGAAAAAAGTAAAAACACTTCAAGAATTATTACCAGATAAACAATATTTCGATAAGATTTGACCGAGCGATTTGATTTTTTGATGTCGGTGTTGGTACTTGACTCGTATAGTTATAAATAGAAAATACGCTCTTATGGCGTAAATACGAACAGAGAAAACTTATGCCCTCATCCGTTTGAGGGCGCCGAACGCTCTTGGAAAAAGAATTCGTTTCTGAATTTGCATTTGTTGAACATAAATATTGCCATCTGTTGAAAGATGACGCTGTTCTAACAAATTTAAACCATTGCTCCGCTCCCGAACAGAGTTCGGCTGTTCGCGGCTGTACTTTCGGCTTCGGCACATCTATTCAATTCGTTTTTTATTAAGTTTTTTATAATCTGTGCCTGCGATTGTGTATCGGTATATAAAAAATTTATTAATTAATTGCAATAATTACCTATTATTGAAAATTCTTCGTTACGGCGTGTGGTTCCATTATTTGTTATTTGTGAGAAATCCCTAGTTTGTTAAATATTGTTTTAATATTTTCAATTATGGAAGGATCGCTACTTGCTAAAAAAAATAAGTGTTGTGTACCTAATTGTTCAAGTAGATATGAAAAATAACATCGTTTTCCAAAAAATAACTTGGCTGTTTTTAATATTTGGTTACAACGCATTAAACCACCAAATTATCAAACCATGGGGATAACTGAAATTTATAATAAATATTATGTATGTGACACTCATTTTTCTCCCAATTATCGCGTGAGAGGAACAAGACGTGGTTTAACTATAAATGCTGTGCCTTCAATAAACATCCCGGGTAAGTATAGATACTCTAAAATATTGAATTGAAAATATTGAATATTCTTTCTTCTTAAAATATCTTTTACGTACAAGCATAATACAAGTAACATGCAAAAAATATGCAATTTTGTAAAATATCTAATTAAAAATTAATTTCATTAATCAAATTCATCCTTTTAAAACTGCATTTATTGTTGATGGCTTTTCGATGTATATTTATAGTATATTAGTAATTATAATTATATACACACATATACTTGAACCTTTGTAAATAAACAGTCTTACATAGGGCCAGTATTCTATTTGATTTATTAATGGTATGATTATTTTTTAAACAATTTTTATGACATTATTATGGTTTATACTTAGATTTGTTTATATTTTCGATACTCATATTGATAGCTGTGTTATTAGATTAAGATTTAAATGGTGTAGTAAAAATTGTATGTGTATTTCTTGATAAATTTACCCTTTGGCATTGGATTTTATAGAAATTGGTACTCAAGTTAGACAACCCACTTAACACCGGAGACGCGGGTTTTGTATGAATTTCCTAATTTTGATAAAAAATGCACTGTATATGTGTTAAAACGTAAAAAACATTCATCTATTGTTTTTATTATATTGATAATGTTTCATAGGATTTTTTGAAGAAGTTGTGGAAATTGCTGTTACTGAACCAATACCAGGCCCCTCAACAAGTCATATTGGAACTTTAATTGAGGAATCTCAGCAATGTGAAATACCAAAACCAATTTCTGAAGTTTGCAAGGAAACTTCCATGAACCCTGCATTGCAATCTGTAGGAACGAGTGAAATTGAAACCCATGGCGGAACCAAGGCAGAATTTGGCAGCTTTGTTGAGTTTGTCAGTCATCAGGATAGACAAGAAGAAGTTAGCGGTATGTAGTTATTGTAATAATTATTTGAGGCAACTTCTCCACAAAAATATTCTTTGTACTCGTACTGCTAAGTATAATCTTTGAAAAAAATGAATAAGTGAAAAATATATGTTTACATTAATTCATTTATAATAATGGTTAAATTCCAATTCACTCATAAATATTATCACATTGTATAGAGAGATCCAGAATGATTGAAGCGTTTAGGGAAGGCTGCCTCTGTTTTTAACACCAACTTTGTCATAAAAATCTGTAGTACTGACAGAGGCAGGCACAGGTTGCAATCTCCAAACACTTCAATCATTCTGGATCTCTCTGTACCTATAATTCATGAAGTTCATTTGGGGAATTTGGTTTTTTTTTTTACAGGTGGCCTGTTCCCAAACGAACTTCAAGAATTAGAGTTCCGTCACAATGCCACAAATAAATTATATAGACAATATTAACCTATTCTATCTTTTAAAAAACTTTTTTAATTCTTAATATCACATTATTTTAGTAAAATTGATGTAATATCATTATGTATTTTAATTTTAGATAAACCAGTAGAGGGATATACACACAAACGTCAACTAAGAAAACCAGAAAAACTAAGAAAAGACAGTACACCAACTTCAAGGGGTAAGATGTAGAAATACCTTAATAATAATAGTATATAAGTAATTTATACAAGAAGTGTAAAAATATAATTTGTTTGATGCACCAAGCCCGGAATTTTTTCTTAAAAATTATTTCAAAGAGTATGCCATAAAAGTGGTCTTGACATAAGGTAACCATGAGAGTGATTCGATATTGTCAGACAATTAGAAACGCAGAAGACGAAGCGTGGTGCACCATGGGGCGCCCTTACATTCAAAAGCTTTTACTATTAACCCGATTGTAGAAAAAACTGTAAAATGGTGTGACAATGAATGTTAGAAAAATTATGATTAATTTATTAAATTTTAAAATGGTCTATTATTTTTGCTTGATAAAAATATCATGACATAAATATACATATTTAATTATAATTGTTATAATAAGTAGAGTGAACGTATAAAATTCCATAAGGTACCATTTATTTTTTTTTTACTTTTTATGATTCTCTATAAGAGATTTTGTTTCAGGTGTTCAGAGAAAAACAAATCTTTTGCGGGAAGTAAATGTCACCAGATCGGTTGACTTGACACCAAAGGCCAAATCCTTTTATAAAAAATTGACAGTTTGGAGTAGAAGAATGGGAGTCATGCACAAGAAAATAACAAATTATCGCACAAGATTAACCAGCTGTAAAATGAAATATTGATAGTTCACAGTTTTCTAACTTATTGACGTATGTCAATAATCCTACATATACCTTTGTTATTTCTCAAGTGCGAAATCAACTTGCAAAACCTTCAGCTAGAAGATATACCCTAGAAGAAAAAATACTGGCATTAACAATATTTAAGTCTAGTGGTAAAGCATATCGTTTACTTAGTAAAATATTTGTTCTGCCTTCGGCAAAGACATTATTAGAATTACTAAGAAACATTCCATTCACCCCAGGACTCAATCCCCATATTTTTAAGTCTCTTGAGAGGAGTCTATCAAAAATTAAAAAAGAACAAGAAAAAATTTGTATTTTAATGTTCGATGAAATGTATATTGATTCTGGTTTATACTACCATAGAGGAGATGACTCGATTATTGGACTTGAAGATAATGGCAACGAAAAACGTCCACTATTAGCAGATTATGCCAATGTATTTCTGTTAAAGGTGAAATCAAAAATTTATTAAATATTTAAATTTAATAATATTTATTTCTTTATAGGGAGTATACAGACAGTGGAAACAGCCAATCTGTTTTACCTTTAGTAGTGGCCCAATCAAAGCTGTAAAGCTAAAAACTTTAATAACATCTGTAATTAAGGAATGTCAAAAAATAGGTTTACGTGTTATAGCTACTGTTTGTGATCAAGGATCTGCAAACCAAACTGCTATTAATATGTTGCTTAAAGAAACTAATGAGTTTTTTATTAGAGGGGGAAAAGATAACCCTCATTTTGGATTTTTAATTGATGAACAAGAAATTATTCCGTTGTTTGATATTCCTCATTTAATGAAGGGCATTCGAAATAACCTACTTAACAAAAACCTTCATTTTACCTTAAACGACAGTGAAAAAGTTGCAAAATGGTCCCACATTGAACAGTTTTATTATTTGGATGCCTCAATGCCAACATTACGGATTTGCAATAAACTAACGGATGCCCATGTTATCAAAGAAAAAATTAACAAAATGAAAGTTAAAAATTGCACACAAGTATTCAGTCATACTGTTGGTGCATTAATGAAACGTATAGTGAGATGGGGTAAATATTATGTTATTTATTATAATTATTATTCTTACACTTAATAATTTTCTTTTAATCTAGTGAAGTATATACAGAGCTGCTTTTAATTTCTATTATTCTTACTTTTTCAGATACTCGAGATGAGTACAGTTTAATAATACCTGATGCGGAAGATACGGCCGATTTAATATTATTTTTGGATAAGCTCTTTGACAGTTTTAATGTTACCAGAGTATCAAAACCTGAAGCAAAACCACTTAAATGGCCCGTCACAAAAAATTCTGAACATGAAATTTTTTGGAGATATGCTCTGACAGTGATGGAATCAATGAAATTTTACAGTCTCGAAAAAAATAATTTTATTGCTGTACCATCACTAAAAAATTTCATTTTTACCATAAAAGGAATGTTGTATTTAAAGAATGTGTTATTAAATAGAAAAAACTTTCGATATATGTTAACAGGTGCATTTAACCAAGATCCTTTAGAAAATTTGTTCGGTTACATCAGAAGTTATGGAAGTCGCAATGTTCATCCAAACGTTCAGCATTTTACTTCCTCACTGAAAACGTTAATAGTAAATAATTTCATGGCTAAGCATTCACCAAGTTATAATTGCAAACAGGATATGTGTACTGAAGGTTTGGATAATTTACACAGTTTTTTAACTGGAGAAAGTATACCTGGAGTGCAACCTTTACATGAAGAGCAAAAGCTTATTAATACATCAAATACTTGTCCAGCAACTTGTCACTGATAAGACAAACAAAAATTGCCCGATGCACAGTTACGTACATGAGTGGATATATTGGCAAATTACTTAAAAAGTCATGTAAAACCTAACCTAACCTAACAGTTATTTGAATTTTTTGGTAACACATTCTTTACAATCCTTATTTTATCTAATTCCTAGATTCTCCACCTCCAGAAACATCTCTAAACTGTTAGAACATACATATCTTAAAAGAAAACTTTCATTTTAGACCTATGAATTGTTCTCAACATCATAATCTTGGAGATAAAGTATGTGATGTTATTGTAAAATGTAGTCTATTTTGGTGGTGCAAAAGTGTCAATAAAATTGCTAAGGGCAGAGATACAAAGTTTGTAAAATATTTATCTACTAACCCGAGTAATGTAGATCCTGTAAAAATGCAGGCATACCGAAAATTTGAGACCAAAAGGAAATATGGAAAAAGGTAGAAGTACATATAGAGAATATATCGAAGATAATGGGTGAAGGAGTGTCTTCAAACCGGTAAATTTGCAGCAAAGGACAATATTTAAGAAAAATATAGCATTGTTTAAAAAAATATTTTATCACTTTTTTCAAATACAGCACAAACATATTTTGTTTTATTCAAAAATGTTTGTGTGTACATCTAGTACATTATTATATGTATACAGGGTGATTAAAAAAACCGCTGACAGACTTCTAAGGTAAGTAATACATGAAAAATTAAGACGAAAAGTCTTAATAAACATAGGGTCGCAAATGCCTCCTTAACGAGATACAGGGCGTCAAAGTTTCTGTAAAATTAAAGCGTAAAAGTGACAAAAAGAAGCTTATAATCTAGTTTACTTAACTCACTTGTACACATTGACATTAGTGACAGGCGATGTTTAATTTTATTTTGAATAGCACAAACCTACTATGCGAAACTAAAATGAATGAAAATAAAATTGGATTCACAAATTTTCTACAAAGGTGTTTCTCTTAAAAATGGTTACTTTAATCCATATTTTGCAAGAGACCAATTCGATAGACAATTGAACACTTTACACGAAAATAGTACCCTTTTGACAAATTTAGCAGTGGCGTAGAAAATATTTTTAAAAAAGGGTCACGTTGACCCCGTCTCTACGACAGTGCTGCTCATAAAATTTTGAGCAATACATCAAACATTGGTCTTAAGGTGCTAACTACGCATAGCAAATTTAAAATAGAAATGTTCAGGCATTTTGGAATTATTGCAGACAAAGTTTAATTTTACAGAAACTTTGACGCCCTGTATCTCGTTAAGGAAGTATTTGCGACCCTGTGTGTATTAAGACTTTTCGTCTTAATTTTTCATGTATTACCTACCCTAGAAGTCTGTCAGCGGTTTTTTGAATCACCCTGTATATCTAGTACGTTATTATAGGTATATATCCAGTAAGTATAGATAACCAAAATGCCTCTACTCACTAATCACACATTCTTTATACACAATGTGAAAATTCCATTTAGCGTACATTTTTATGACTGATGTAAATATTTTCGGTTAATATTATGATCTTTTCAGTACATATTTAAAAGTTCATTTAATAATGGTGAATTTTGGATCGTCAAGATCCAGATGATTAGTTTATACTGTATATGGAACTAAGTGTATGAAATTAAATATTTATAAATCAAGTAAACCCAATAACTTGTTATATTTGTTATTTACCATTACCATATTATTTTCATTTATAATTTATGTATGTAGTTTACATATAGTGGCAATTGTTTATGTCTTTATGTCTTTTGTAATGTATTATCAAGCATGTTCATCATTTATCCTTTTCTAACCATAGCTCATATCATTAGAACCATTTCAAGCCGATTGTCGATCGTCCGATAAAGTGTACGTAAAGAATCACTGGCCCAAGTACTAATGATACTAATGATATTAATGTAGGTACATACGTTATGTTGAAATATGATGTAATATGAAGTCATATATTTATTGTTGCAATGTATACATACCTATAGGATGTATAGGTAATGTGATTGCCTTTGTAACATTTTAAAAGTATGTTTGAATAGGTATGCATTAGATATTATTACCATGCTATTATGTTGTCATTAACTGTGAGATACTACATTAAAGACATATAGTACTATGCACACATTAATAGTTAATACTATATTACTTTAGTGTACGGTGTAAGTATTTTATGGCCAGTTTTGTAATATCAAATTAACTGCAAATTAATTATGTTAAATAGAGAAATCTTCAATGGCAGTATGGATATTTATTCCACATGACATGAGTAGAAATAGAACAGAACCACTCTTTATTCAATCGTTTCTGTATTCCATCTTCAATATGTTGTTTTTATAATATATTGCTTTATACTATTATTCGTTTTCTTTTTCCTAATTTTAATATTATTTCTATTATAGATGTGTATTTTATAAAATATATATATTTACAAAAAATTTTGACTAAATTAATTCGTAAAATCATTTACAGATAGATACCTACTTATATTGTTTCTAGACTAATGATCTGTTCTGCATCACATATGCTAATTATTTTTACAGTACTATAAAAATTTAGTTAATTCAGAGAAAATGAAAATAAATATACCATATTCTAAATATGGTAAAGAATTAATATTTCTTTATCTTTTGCTGTATAATGGTAATGTATTAATATATTATTAATGTATTTATTTTTATTTCAATATTTATTTTGAATTAACTAATTTTTTTTCTACGTTCATGCAAAAAACAAAACTTTATTGAACTGTATTTAGTGAAAAAAGTGGTTCTTTCTTGCACTCATCTCCCATTCTACTACCTACAGCGTTTTGTCATCACGACAATGACATGACGTGATCCCTCACCTAAATAAAACATTTTTTGGTTTTTGCATGAATGTAGAAAAAATATTCTATGTAACTCTTGCAAAAAGTGTTCATTGCACTCATCGTGTTATCCATCTCGGCCTAACGGCCTCGTTGGACAATTTCACATCTCGTGCAATAAACACTTTACTTTTTTCACTTGTTGCATAAATAACTATTTATAGCGCTAGAGAATTAGCATACATAATATACAGGATGTTTGGTAGGTCGATGCAAATCTTTCAGGGGTGATAGAATGGATAATTTGGAATTTATTTAACCCAATTTACCTCTATACCAAGTGTTACCATTTTCAAGATATTTATGCTTTTTTGAGAAAACCTTGTTTATCATCAAAAAAATGTGAATAAACGGAACAAGCACTTTGTTTCTTTTTATCAACAGGGTGCACTCTTATTTTTATATTATGGAGCATCAGTAATTAATATGAATAATAAATGTATAATGTGTAGAAAAAAATATAAACAAGAAAAGTTGTCCGAACATGTCAACCGCATTCAAAAACTTAAATTTAAACACAAATTTTACTTCAACGAGTACATGTGGATTTTGTCAAATGATTTTAAAAATTTCTCTAGATGTTATTTTTTCAGACCTGGCGAAATTTACAGTACAAATTTAGTTTACAAATCTGCTGCACAATATTAACCTTAATAATAAGAAATATTCATTACAATTTTTATTATTTTTAAGCTAAATTTAAACTGCAAATTTTGCAAAGTTTGAAAGGATATCATCTAGGGAAGTTTTTAAAATCATTTGACAAAATTTCCATGTACTCGTTCTAATAAAATTTGTGTTTGAACTTATGTGTTTGAGTGCGGTTGACATGTTCCGACAACTTTTCTACACATTATAAATTTGTTATTCATATTCATTACTGATGCTTCATAATATACAAATAAGATTACACCCTGTTAAAAAAAAGAAACAAACTGCTTGTTATGTATATTCACATTTTTTGGATGATAAGCAAGGTTTTCTCAAAAAATCATAAATATCTTGAAAATGGTAACACTTGGTATAAAGGTAAATTGGGTTGAATAAATTCCAAATGATCCATTCTATCATCCCCTGAAAGGTTTGCATCGACTTACCAAACACCCTGTAGAATGGATTTATTAGTCGAAACTTTAAATTTACCGCCAAATTATAAACGTACAGCGCCATCTGTTGATTAAATTCTCTATAATTACCATACTGCATGCTCTAGAAAAACATTTTAGAAAGTTTTCTGTTTTCTCATATATATATAGTTCAGCCCTCACCCGTTGTAGGGCGCTGAAATCATTGAATCAAGAAAAGAATGGCAACTTCTATTTCTATGAGTATAATTTCAACTTTTTCTCCTAAAATCTAAAATCAGCTGTTGCTGGGGAAATTTCATCGCAAAAAATCACTAGCCACTCTTCTTGCCAGTGATAAAGTTGTTTCCTGTAATTCTGTATCCTGTATTTGACAGACGAATGCTAGTCTCTCTCACTATTTAGGATATAAGGTATAAATTTTTATTAATTCAGTCGTATTTTTTGTCAAAAATTCATAATTTGGAACATAAATATTAACAAAACCGTGGTTCAAATACCTATATAAATTATTGCTATTTTATAGGTATTTTCGTTAAATTAAATTTCCTTTTGCAGGTTACTTATTTTAGTACATATAATGAGCTGTTGTTTTACCTATAACATCATTGAAATCCTTCAATTATTCCATTAAATTCACCCAGTTTATATTAATGTACATCCGATTTCCGAAACATCGCTTGATTATACATTATGACAGATATTTTTGAACGCTTGGAGTCGAACAATAGGGAAGCAATTGAGAATGCAAAAGAAACTTTACGAGAACAATTTATGAAAGGTATGTATATATTTATAAAAAAAAAATTGTAAATATCTTCCTGAGTAATTATAGCTACCTATGTGAGAATTAATCAATTCTAATTGGATCACCTATTTAAAAAGTATTCGTGTAGTTCAAAGTTAGTAGTCGGTACTTGTTCCTATTTTTATATGTGTTTTGTTTTCAAATTACTAAATAGGTACATTTTAGTATTTGAATGGGACAATAAAAGTATGTAGTTTTGTTGCTGAAATGTATTAAAATAATTGTACATTTATCAGTAATATTTTCCCCAGACCTCTTTTGTGTATACGAGAAATAAATTTTAACTTTACTTGGTTTGAAATTAAATGTTTTTGTTTAAATAATATATCTATTTGTTTATAAAAGAATTGTTATTCCATAATATTTAAATAATTGAATTTAAAGTATAATATCAAGAAAAGGTATAGGGTAAAAAATGTAAGTACCTACTTCAATATATTTATGTAGTTTTAAGTTCATAATCGATACAAGATTAATTAAAAATGATTACTGAAAAATTGCCTATAATATAATCAAATTTAAAATATATATATATACTTATATTGACATACAAATATTAAAAATTTTTATTGACTAAAAACGCATATTAAATTTGTAAAATGTTTGATGTTATTTTTAGTTAATGACTCTTGGCTGTTAAATGGCCTGTATGATTATTATTTAAGTACTAATTCTGTCAGATCTATGGATATCCTGGTAAATATAAGGGAACCTCATCATCAGTATTTATTTGATCGGTGAGTACAAAACTCAATTTTTTTTAATTAAAATTGTTTTGGAAAGGAATCTAAAGAATATCTTATAATAATAATAATAATTTTGTAATTCAGAAATCGGTAAGTACGGCACCAACAAACATTTTTTAAACAAATATTATTCAGAACAGAAATTAAATCTTGGTAAAAAATTGTATCGAATGAAGTGTTTATAAGTATTGGAAATCATATAATTTTATACAAACCTGACTTGAATTGAAAGTTAAACAGAAATTCTAACAATTTGGAAAAATCAAAGGCAAAATGTTAAACTTCCACCGTCTACATGAGGAACTTGGATAAATTTTCTATAAATTTTTAAAAAGTATCTAAATTATACCTATACAACGTTTCCATCTTATTAACAAGCTGGTAAAAGTTTAAAATTAGATCTTTTTTAAACTGCAATGTTTAATTAGGTATCCAAAAAATGTATGACGTAAATAAGTTTAATTCAACAGTAACATTTGTTATGTAAAGCTTTACTTTATTCACCTATTGGATTTCTTTGTGCAGTACAAAATTGGCTACTTATAACAGGGATAAATATTTTTCGATTATCTTATAATATTTTTTTTTCATTTTTAGTTTATCTGAATCAATTAAGAGTTCAAAAACTGAAATCAAAGTACAAGCATTGACGTTATTAGGACATGTCGCTAGAAGTCAACCAACCTGGTTATACAAACTTCAGGAGCATAACTTACTTCGAGATATCTTACAATTTTTAAAGGTATCTACACCCAACTCTCATCTGATTAATACAGATGTAAATATAAATTGTTTCTTGTTTAGAACGAAATGGAACTCCTGCCGCTTATAAGCGCTCTTCTTCTGCTGATCGTTTTATTACCAATGATACCGTCGGCGATGGGCCACTATTTAAGAGATATTTTTGATATTTTCAGGTAAAAAAATAGGAATACAATTAACGTAAATAATATATTGTGTAGTGTAGTATAGTTAAATGATCCTCTCACTCATCATCATTATTATTATTATTATTATTATTATTATTATTATTATTATTATAGTCGCCTAGCTTCTTGGAATTGTGCTTCAGGAAAATTTATCGAGGAACAAAATGTCCATATGCAGGTAGCCTTGTACGCGTTATTTCTGAGGTTATACGGAATGTATCCCTGCAATTTCCTTGCATATTTGAGAGTGCAGTATAAAGAAAAAAGTAATCCAGTTTTTGTTCACACTATTAAGGTACGTATTATTTTTATAGTTTTATTTATTTTTTTAATCTGATTTGGGTGTATGCTGCAATTGCTGCTATTCTGCAATTTTCTTAGTACTGTAAATTTACAAATTAAGCTTATTTTTCATAGAAGTATCTTAAAATTAAAGGTCACTCTTTTATGCAGACAAGTCTCTACAGAACGGTACAGCTAGACTTTATTTTTGTAAATTGAATGTATGTTTTTCAATATTTTCGAATCTGGTATTAATTATTTGGGAATATTGTAGCCTATGCTGGACACTGTTAGAATGCATCCGTCACTAGTTACGGCTTCTCAGGAAAATGAAATAACAACAGAAAGGTTAGACAGTTGTTGTCGGTGGAAATTATAATTTCTTCTACGTTACCTTTTCAGGTGGAAGAAAAAAGGAGTGCACGATGTAATCGTTGAATGTGAAAGGTTTAGTTTGGACATAACCGACCGGTGTCCACACGATTCCTGTCAGAATACGTCTGGTTTTCGTTCGAGATCGGGAACTACAAATTCAAATATTGGTAAAAGATGTTTACATCAGAATGATGTATAAGGTGTTTCGGAAGTAGATAGTCAAACTTAAAATTTGGATTCGGGCGATTAAAAGATGTGAAAAATGAAATTGTTAGAAATAGAAGATTTTGTACCACCAAGAATTAAAGTTAGCGATTGAATTTCCAAATTGCTGTCTAATTTTTGAGATTCTCAGCATTTTCGCTACTGTTTGATTTATTTATATAAGAGTTTGGCAAATTTTTACCTCAAATTCATCACTTTATATATGTTAGATATTACAAAAAAGATGTGAATGATTTTTCAAACATCAGCATCTTGTATGTTGAAAACAAAATTTTTCTGGGCATTCCTTCGTAAGCTTTTTCACTTGTTTCACCACCCGAATTCAAATTTTAAGTTTGGCGTATCAATTCAGAAACAAGCCATTTAAAAATGTGTAAAATTGTTTTATTTATATGCGTAATTTTTAGAACCGTCATATCAATTGCATAATTTAAAAAATCTAGCGGCCTGTCAAATGCAGATCACTGAAACGAGTTACTTTTCACCGAGCATGGTGTTTCACGTACAAACTCCACCAATTACCGAGACTCTTCCTACAAATATCCCTCATGTGCAGGTAACAAAATAATGACGAAATTTATTTCAAACTCTTTCTGTTGTGTGCATGTATTAAATACAGGGTGGGCAAAATGTGGCACTTTTGAAGGATTTCTCTTATTTCTCGAAAATATAACAAAAAGGATGTCAGGTCCAATTTTTGACAAAAGTAGAATGGCTAAAATGATGTCTTGATATTTTCGTTCGTTTGAAAGACATTTTTCAATTTTGGCCGCTTTCTGTGATGGGTTACAATTTTTTTGTTTGTGAAAATATTTTATGTACGTAGTAACGTTTCTTTTTTGTTATGTACTCGTAGAATCCAACCATGTACATGATTTTTTTCCGTGACTTCAGATTTTTGGGTTATAAGGTTTTATAAGAATTTGGGTTATTAAATAGGACACCATCTATAAAAATTTCTCTCAAATGATGCAAATGAACAAAACATTTCATAAAAAAAAACGAAAATATAAGATATGAAATATTTTTGCAGATAAAAAAATTGTAGGGTACCAAAGGAATTAACCAGAACGTAAAAATTCCTTTGTGTCTTAAATTAATCAAGATATTGATCACTGAACTTTTCTTGAAAATAAAGTTTTAAATTACTTATTTGGACCACTCTGTATACACGATTAAAAAGCACAAGTAACCGATACACATAATATCAATCTGTATCCTTTCAGAGTTGTATTCAAGGCGTGAATTATCTGTCACAGGAAGGTACTTCTCCTCCTGAGGCTGCGATAGAGGCAACTCCAGAAACAACTCCCGTTAGGGTAAGTAAAGATCGGAATTTTTACGACAGTCTCCATTAATTTGCGTCAATCTGCGAGTTAAATGGTGGGAAATTGTTAGTGCCTATCTTTTCAATTTTTGCACCTTACTTTATACAGGGTGTGACTTTAGTGCTACCCAGAATACTAATTTGAAATTATTATATAATATATATTTTTAATTAAACGAATAGCTATAATTTGTTTTTTAAACTGCATTTAAAATTTAAACTTCTGCGTATGCGCCTCTCGCCTCGTGATTTATTTCTATTCTTTTGTTCATCAAATTCGATAAAAAAAATTATTAGTTTGTTGATATTTATTTTTAGAGGTCGCTCGAAAACATTTTAGGTACCTACACTACTTTTAAAGTTAAAATAATTATGAATGACCTTTAGAAATTAAAATAGCGATTTGAAATTTTCAGAATCAAGATTTTTTTTCGATCTATAAAATGATAAAGTAATGAGAAAAAAAATTAAAAAAATCAATTTTTGACGATTTTGGAAATTTTTAAAAATCTTGAGGGACCTCTAAATAAATTTTTTTTAAGCTGATTTATTGAGGTGGCTCTTAAAACGTGATAAACAAACATTTTCACAAGAGAGGAAAAAAATGTTTTTTTTTTTGGGCCACCCTAATATACAGTATAATATAATATACTTGACGACATCCCCAATATATATTTTTTGGTATAAATTTGATCCCAATTCAAAGTGGCACCCTGTATATTAGAGAATTTTCTTTATACATGTTCTTTGGTTGTAATTTCACCAATCATTTCATAACTGGTATGACGTAACCTGTCCCAAAAGAATTATAGGCGTATTTGAAATTTAAATAAGTTGATTAGAAAAATAAATAAAATGCCTTAGTCACCTCCTGGTAATGTATCGGTAATTAATTTTATTTGTCTATGTGGAGAGTACAGCTCGCTAAAGTAAATTATTTTATAAACAAATAATGTGCTTCAGATAATTAAGGTCAAAATAAGCCATTTATCAATACCGTAGTTTTTATGCAAATGTGGTAATTTATAATTTTCTTCTTATATTAATTTCAATGTTTTTAAAGACTTAGTTGGCTTTTGTAGATGATGCAAGAAATTTAACATTGTTAAATCAAATAATAAGATTTGAACTACACGAATACGTGTAAGTAAACAATTATTTATTGACATTGAAATGTTTTCAACACGTTTTACTTCTAAATTTCATTCTAAATTTCATTCTAAATATGTTGGTATAGAAAATTTTTACAAGGCGTCTGCATAATATGATATTTTTCGAGAGAACTTAAACATGCCTGTCTCAGAAGCCAGTGGTTTTTGGTACATTCTTATATTTGCCGATTAAATTATTAAAAAATTTTTTTATGACATTTTCTATTTTGTTTTTACATTAACTTTATTTTCTAGGATTTTCGATTGTTACCGGCCAGATCTCAACCGTTAAATTCTAATATTGCGAGAGCGTTGACTTCATTTAGCAAAAACCGACCATCTGGTTCTCAGAACACGACACCCACTCATTCACAACCTTCTTCGCCAATGCGCAAAGAGAGTTCACCATTTAGTTTTTCATCCGAGAGTAAATCGGCGTTTCGCAAAATAAAACGAGAATCAGTATCCAACCAGAAATTAAATAAACTTATATTGGAACGGTCGCAGGTTTGTATTCTGATGATTATTTGAAAGGGAAGATCCCTAATTTAGGTTCGGATTTTTTGCGAAGGAAAATACTATATATATATTTATATATATATATATAATATACATAGCTTTCATAAATGATTCCCAGCTACGTGACCGGTAATTTTGTTTAAAACAGTAATTTTATTTCCTTCGGTTTGGCAATTCAATTTCGATAAAATTAAAAATTATTAAAACAATAAGTTCAAGATTACATTAAAACGCAACATTCTGTTTCAGCGGCTTGTGATCGGTGTATCATTTCACATTTTACTCATCCAACCGGCGATGGCATTATCTCCAGGTAGACGACGGTTTGTTATTGTGCATTGTAAACTAATCAATATCGACGTGCCGTGCAATGTTGGTTGCCTAAGCTCGACGGTCAATTGGCTTGTAATCATTTACGAAGGCTCTGTATCTGTAAATCGGAGACTTGTCAAAGCGACTTTAAAAATTATTTTTTGTTACCGCCTATTATGATTTTTCTCATACGCTCACAATTTACTTAAAACGATTGTTTTTTTTTGTTGGTTTTGTTTATTTGAAACAAACGAGTGGGACATGCACATTAAGGGATTTTGCCTGACGATAATACAAAAAAATCTCCATTGGACCATGTAGCAAGAGCTGGAACATTTTTTAATGTGATCGATTGAATTAAACAAACAGTAGTTGTATTTTATTTTTATAATGTCTTTCAGATTACCGATTGTACTGTTGGCGGTGACATGTCTTCAAAAAACAAAAATTTACCTATGCCTTCTAGTCCCCTGCGCATTATTACTTCCGAAGCAGCTTTGAGACAGTCCACCCATCACCAAAGAATCGAATCTCCTATAAGTCAAGAAGATGAGGAGGTTTTATCTATTGTTGGAAAAAATGAGGCCATAAAGCCTTCCGCTGCGAGGGCTTACAGTAACGTGTCGCCCGATTTTGACGATTGTAAGTATCTACCTGTTACGGCAAATTTGAACAGTTACACATTTTTCAGTGTTAATTCTTAGAGAATATTGATTTAAATAAGAGGCGTCTGTGTACTCTGAAAGAATTTTTTTTAAATTCACCCAATTCCCTTCACGATGAAAAATTAACAAATGTCCTAGGTTCAAACGAACATTTGGACGAAGAACAGGAACACGGATCCCCTTGTACCGCGGGTGGACTGCACATGCCTAATTCAAAATCGATGAACAGCTTCGCAAAGAGAGTCCAACGATTACGGTATCACAGTCAGTGCAATCCCGAGCCCGAGCAAATCGAAGCCTCTACCGGCAGCAGTCCGGGAAACAGTGAGTGACTAGAAATTACGCAAATCGTTTCGGAATCGCTTATTATTTTACATTGTAGATATACCATTTCCAAATTGTACGACGGTTCGCCGTGCAAACTCGTGCCCGGAAATTAAGAAAAGTCCCAATAATCCTTCAAAAGACAATATGGATAAGCCCTTGGATGAAACTGATGAGGAAACTACGGGAGAAGTTAAGGTGGAGAGTGTACTGAACAATTTGAATGCCGTCAATCAAACCGATAAGTGTGAAAAGCTTAGGAAGGCCATGTTTTGCTGTTCTACCCAGACGGAAAACTTTTGGCCGATGCCATACGAGCATTTATTTTTGGGCATTTTCCCATCCTTGGAGAGCGGCGAAGTCAAGCCGAGCCCTGTACCGAGTCCCGCACCTTTCAATATTTCTCAGGAAAGAAGCTGCCCTCCTTCCTTATACGATATCCTAGACAAGTGAGTAACCTGTACAAAATATTTTCCGTTTTGTTCAATTTTGTCCTCGATACAAAAAATTAATTACATACGTGTAAGTCCCATTATGTGTCTATCACAAAAAAGCATATCATTACCTATAGTTCAAATATGATCTATATACAGGGTGTTTGTAAATCATGATGTCAAACTAATGTAGATTGTAGAAAATATAAAGTATCTTTTAAGGTAAAAGAGATAAAGGTACGTTGTCACAAACGCATACATATTTTTAAAATTCTCCAAAATAATATTTTCTGCAGTTTCATGTCGGTTTCATTAAAAAGTGGATTTTAAAAAGTTTTCCATGAAAACGTACCGCAAGAGAGAACGTAATTTAATCCCGTAATGCATTACGTTGTTTAAGGTATATTGAATCGGCAGTGAACTGCAGCGAAAGGAACAGCTCGCAGCTCCTTAGGGATCAACTGCAACTCTTGCATCAGCAACTCCTTTTCGAGAGACATAGAAGAGAAACTCACGCCTACAGAAACAGACGGTTGCTTTCAGACGCAAAGAGTACGAGATTATTGGAAGAATGTAACTCTGCCTTGGTAATAATTTTTTAAAACGACATAACTTCTTATATTAAAAAAATAGTTATTAGTAATTCTTTAATTCACTTTAGCGAGATACTGTTCAACTTCAGCAAAGAGATATTGATGACTTAAGGAAGCAAATTAATACTTTCAAAAAGGAAAGACTTGACGAAGAGAAGAAATTGAACAAGACCGTCCAGTATTGGGAGAATCAGGTATATTTAATTGATAAGGTGTTTAGAATATGTTTAACCTTCAAATTATATGTCGTCTTAAAAAATCTAATCGATAAAAATAAAATTAATAGAAACATTTTTAATTTTAGTGCAAGACCTTGCAGCAGGAATGCAAAAATTTGAGGGAGATCAACAACGTTTTTGCGAAAGATTTGGTCGATTTAAGAAGTAAATGCTCCGATTTGAACGAAGAACGCCAAAAGGCGGAGTCTGTGTTGCTAGACACGATTGCCGAAGTAAACGTAAGCAAGATATTATTGTTAACGATACTTTTTCCGTTATTAAATTTGCGTTCCGTAGGTGGCGAGAGAACAGGCGTGGGTGGGAGAAAAAGGCAGACACGAATTAGAGCAGGTCAATAAAGAACTGCTCTTGATCGGGGAGCTTCAGTTGAAGTACCAGGAGAAGTTGGATAAGCTGTCCGCCATGAAGAGGAGCGAGGAGGAATTGGAAACGGTCAGGGAATCTTATAAAGAAAGCATTAAAAGTAATTTGCTTTTATAGAGAAAAATAGGAATTAATTTATTTTTTTATAAAAGAAATTTAGGAGGCGATCCTACCCATAAAAATAGTAGTTGCAATATCCTGCGGTACTTCAAATATCGACGTAATCTTAAAGTAATTTTTTTTTATCGTTGTGATAACATCTTATTGTTGGCAACAGACGGTAATTATGGAAAGTCATCAAAATGATGAAAAACTAATAAAAGGTTAAATTAATTCAATTAATATGAAAGATCTCTGTTAATATTCTGTTTCTGAACTTTTACGGGGGTAGAATCGCCCCCTAAATAATATAATGGGCATGTAATTACATGTTTCTCTGACAAATAAGAAAAAATCCCCCCTATTACGATTATTTCAGGCATGGAGCAACAATTAGAAATCAAGGTGGCAGGTTTGGAGGCGTACAAAGCACGAGTTCATGAATTGGAACATATAATAATGACAAACGAAGATTTAATACTGGCTCAGAAAAAGACGGTGAACGTGTTGAATGAACAGCGGTTTGAAAAATTTGAGGTAAATGTAATCGTTCAAAAAAATATATAAATTCCTAGTTAGTTTCTTTACGTATAATTGTAAAAGTTTTTTTTTTCTTATTGATTATTTGAAGTGATTTGAGGGTTTAAAAAGATATTTGCGGAACAATAGTGCCTTTTGTCGCTCCTTGGGATTACTTTTAGCGGGTATGTTTTAGGCCGTCGAAAGTAAATATCAGACGCAGTTGACGATCAATCGGGCTCTAGAAGAGAAAATACTGGATTTACGTCAACGATTAGAGTCCGACAAAGGAAAGAGGTGTGTTCATTCGCCGGACACTAGTAGCTGTCACGAGGTAAACGTGACTACAACGGCTGGTTTTAGTCCACATTCGTCCCCCCTGTCGGCTTCCCTGGCGTCCTCGGAGGGAAGCATGGCGTTTCACGAAAGAGAGCAGAGAGAAGTAAAGAACCTTCAGGTACGAGCTTCTAGACGGTAATTCTCCCCGATTTTATTAATTTAGTACAACAACTGCTCTGCCGACTAAAACCCCTACCACCCCTCTAATAATGTCTTCGTAAAGTAAATCGCCAAGATCATTCATCGGTAGAATCACCAGACGCAGACCAGTTTCTTATTAATTCTCATCTGCACGACATAGAGATGAGACGACCGACTAACGATCATTATAGATGTCTATCGGCGGCATGTTTTTATTGTGGGCGAGATATAACCTACAAAACGTGTTATTTTGGGTTTTACGAAAATTCATTCATCGTGCTCGGATCCTTGTCCTTGCCATTTTATTGTTTTAGAGAGTAGAAGTTAATTTTCTTAAATCTCCCATCTGTGTCACTAAAATTAAGAATCTGCACAAAAGGTTATAGATTTTCTGATTTTCGATTTTCATTATACAATGTATAGATAATGGTCATTTAATTTTTTAGGCGATCGTGGACCAAAAGTCAAGATTCGATGGCGATGCATTTGTTGAAAAAGAAAACGACTGATTTTTCATCTTAATATATATATATATATATATATATATATATATATATATTCTAGGAGTAAGACGAGAAACATAAAAATGGCATTAAAAGCTCATAACCGCTTTGATAAAAATTACCTACTGTGTAGTTGTAAAATTTTATACAAATGTTATAAGTGACACAAATTCATGTAAAAGGAATACATTCATTACTGTTCTCTAAGTTGTCATCTCAAAAAGTGTTAGTTGTTGTACTCTCACGAAGGTTAGAATGTTATATTATATATATATTATATAAATATTATGTAAATTTAAAGCGTTACTTTATATAAAGACCAAAATGTTGAGGCACTTCTAAATTTGTGATGGTAGACGTAACAAAGTATTTATTGTTATGGCTGATGATTATATTGTTACATTGAATTGATTTCAAAATAATTTTTATTAAATGTATTTAAATACTTAATAACGTCTTTAACTTAATTCCAACGTCCTATTTTATAAAGAGAAAATTAAAGTCCATACCGTTCTACATCAGAAGAAATGGAAACAACCACTTTCAGAGAAACCCGAGTTTCAAAACATCCAAGTGTATACAGGGTGTAACTTTCAGTGGCGGTCGGCTTTTTCACGGGTAATAGTATGAATTTCCCAGATTACTAAACTTTTTTTAAGGGGGATAGCCACTGATGGGTCCTTCGAAAATATGTGTATAAAATTTTAAGTCCACATTCCGAAAATTGTCTCCGAGTCACAGTCATTTCAATGAGGCAGGTATAGACACCATAAATCATCGGCGCGCTAGGGACAGACTAAGAATCGTGCGCAAAAGGGGCAATAAAATAAAAAAACAACGACAAGGACACCACTGGAGATGTAGTGGAAGAACCATAATATGGCCCAGGACTCGATAGTCTGATGTTAGTATAAATATGGTAGTAGACATACGATTTCACAGTAAAAAAAATGGTCCGAAACCTTTTAAACGACTTTTTTTCAAACTGGTCGCATCGATCGTTTTTGTTTTTGCATCAGCTGAGGTTAAGCATAGCCGATTTTGAAAATTTTGATTATTACTATTTTTTAAGACTGCATAAATAGGAAAAAGTGAAAAAAAACTCAATCCCTCACCAATTAATTTGTAAAAAATCTGAAAAAAAAATGGCTACAGCTATAACTACATTCATATAGATTCCCGTTTTTGAAAAAACTGCGCAAATATGGAGGGGGATTTTATTTTAAGGCTTTACAGCAAGGCTCATAACTTTGTAACAACTTCTCGGGGCTCGGAAAAAATTTCAGGTGGACAATAACGGCCCCGACCAATCCAAAGCTGCATTAAGTATTAAGTTACGGGCAATGAACTCCAATATTGGCGACCAAACTTACAATATGACAACATGTACATACATTACCACATACGTTACAAGAAAAAGAAAAAATATAACGCTAATATAAAATTATATTTTATTTAAAGTTTCAAATCGGACAAATATTCAATTATTTAACTGGTACAAATTGAATGAGTCGTTTAATTTTCCTTAATAGTACTTCAATGAATCCTTTATCTAATTCAGTTCGGCCCTGAAACAAAAACATCTGGTATGGTATCGTGTAGGTTTTCAAGACTATTATGTCCTATTTAAGTTAATAATCAATTTTTAGCACAAAAAAATTGAAAAGATAAGACTATCGTAACACGAGAAATAGACAATTTCATATAAAACGTATAAAATATCAATAATTAGAAAGTAGCGTTACCTGAGCCGTCTCCAGCAGTTGTTTACTAAAACTGTCGTTAAAAAGAGAAACCAACCCTTGTTTCAAATTACTGATGATGTCTGAGGACACTTTCCATGTGGCTTCCGAGGCAGATGCGAGAGCCACTAAAATAAACATTTATAAGAGGCATTTATGCAAAACATATTTCGGTACGGAAATGTATTTTCTGAAATTCAATGTTTTTTATTTAATTTCACGTTAAATATAAATATAAAAAAAATGTTACTATAAAACATAATGGTAGAATAAATTTAATCATTTAAAGTTGTTGAATTGTTATAAATACCGACATTAAAAAAATTATACAGCAACTTACTATCTGGATTTAGTGTAGTGTTAGAGTGAATGTATCCGTAACTCTTTGATTTTGGTATAGCTCTCAACATATAGAAATCAAGATGGGACCATATTAGATATAGAGCATTTTCTATAATAAATACACAGTATTTTAGTTCTTTTTTCTTTTTCTTAAGCCTTTCCGAAATAATCTCGTATGCCCTTTCTCTCTTTGATGATAAATCTGTATTGTCGACGGACTCCTCAATATAATGGCGCAGATCTAGCGAATTCATATCGGGTATTTCTTTCAGTTTTCTTGCCAATAAATCGTGAGTGACCTTTTCTTGATGGTGGTAATTCACGGTGCTAATCAACTGTTGAACAATTATACCTAATGAAGGTTCTTGTTCGTTGGTGTTCGATGTACTTCTTATATTGAAAGTGTGCAACAAGGGATCGCTTAATGACGGATAAAAAATAACCCCAACACCGGCATGCTCTATTCCATGGTTTGCAACTATACGTTGAGAGTAACACAGGAGGTTGGCCATAATCTGCATTGCGTATAGTAATCTCTCGGATGTCTGAAACATACTGGTCGAACGTGAAGGATGCATTACCAGACGTTTCACTGTGTCTTCGGATAATATAAATCTAGGAAGTAACGATAGCATGAGTTTTTGCAACCGATATAGTTGAGCTCTGATATTTTGAACGACGTTGGGATTTTCTAAGATGTTGATCAAATCATTGTTTGCGATACGGGACAATACCGATGTAAGAAGTGATAATTCTTTTAAGGATTCGGGTGATAAATCTGGACTGCCCGAACGTAAGATTAATTCGATTACATCCAGGTGACTGAACAAGAAATACATAATTTGTACGACGGCCGACTGATTTTCCGTTCCTAACGTAGTTAGAATGGCGTTACAAACGTCCAGAGTTGGAAGCCATATCTGAAGATACTGCTGTTCGACTGGCGGTAAGAAATCTTCTAATACATCATCTTTATGCCAAGATTTCGATATTTCGGGATGAAAAGCAAAAACCGACATGTTGCTAAAGCAAGCCAGCAACTTTTGTTCCAGTATCATCTCCGCCCCCATCTTGGTTCCCGCTAATCTCATCAATAACAATATTTTTGCCATATACAAATATAGCGGTTTTATAGACTCCGCTTGTAGTTCCAACATATTCCTTAAATCGGTGTCGCTGTCCATTATACTTTGAATTATGTGCCTTAAATAGCCACGGCTTGACACGAACATAATCGAATTTATGTTACCAGATAACATTATCAAATGGCTAAAGCTCGACATTGCAAGAATTTTACAAATCTCTTGACCGCCGATACAATCATGACATAACACTTCCACCAATTTTTCTCCAAACTTGGATAAAATGTCCGATGAAAACTGAATCTGCAAATCTCTGTCAGCAGTATTCACCCGGGAACTATCCAAACGGCTTATATAAAGACTATCATTGAAAATAGTACTGTCGTGTGGAACATCCGCATTTGTCAGTTGTAAAAACGTTACTAACGCAGCGTACAGGTTAATTCTTAATTCTCCATCTATGACATCGGATATCATGATCCATTCTACAAGACGTTCCAGAATTTCCTTTAGGGAACTGTAATAAAGTTTCATTACATTCACATTCGTGTCGCTATGAAGGTTTGACGTCCTTAGCATTTTCTTATCGTGAATATAACACTTTTTTAAATTAGTCATCATTAATAAAACGGCCCCAGATGTATATCTAGAAACTTCCGGTAAAAGTTGTACTTTCACAACTTTTTTTAAAATATGTTTAAGCAGGCAGATACTTATAATTTGTTGTTCTGTCGAAGAAATTATCTCTAAGGGAATGTACATGACTAACACCTCTGCCACTTGCCTCCAAGCATCCACAAATTGTACCACGGAAGAACAAGTTTCAGTCCTCTTGTTCAGTTCAAGTGCGTACTTTAGAACTTTAGGGATCTCCTGAGTTATGGCCTGAATCTGACCGAGAACGGCTGTTCCTTGCAACGATTTCAGTTCGTCGTACAATATTTGATGTAACCTTTTCAAATCGATTAATTTTGGTGGCTTCTTTTTTTGGCAATTTTGTAGAATCTGATTTAGCACAGTGTTGTTAAAAAAATCCCATGGGGGCGTCTCCACCGGGGGTTCTTTAAACTCAAAATAGGGGATTAAACTTGTCATAAAATTTTCCATTTTTATATCGTCGGGTGTTATAATTTTCGCTTCAATGACGTTTTTCTGAATTAAAGAGAAAATATCTGGATTTTTTGCCTCTTCAACTGGTACATTCACGAGGAAGGACGTTAACTGTTTCAGATAAGTTACCTGTTTAACTTCACTGGAAATTTTTAATTCGATGGCAAGTACCTTTAGTAACCAGGTAAGCTGATTAAATTCACTTATTCCATCAGTTATATTATTTTTACTGGCTTCTCTTAAATGATCTTTGAAAAATGTTTTATTCAACCTTATGAATCGTAACACCGGCCCCGAAGTTTTTACGTTTGAAGCCAGTAAATAAAGCAGATGATAACTGGATTCCAACAATGAGGGGGCTGGGGTCTCTATAAAGTGGTTGACAGTCGCATCCATGATCGATAGTATAGAATGTAGACATGTACGAGGAAATCCCAAAACTCCAGGAAACTGAAATTCAGTCAGAGAAACATCCCTTTTTATATCAAAACCCATCAAAAAATGAGTCAAATTCGGCGTATTGTAGGGTAAACATTGTTTAAGCAACTTCAGGACCTCTTTCTTGATATCGTAGCTTGCTTCATCGTTATCATCATTCGTAGAATCTAGACATTCCACAAATCCACTTCTGACAGTTTCTTTTATCTCGTCAGATGCCAACAAGATATCGATGAACTGATTGTGTGCAACGGGTGAACTTGTAATCAACGCTAGAATTTTTACAGCGTCAAAGCTGTGTTTAGGCAAATACAGATGGTAAGTAATATATTTTGCGATATTCACGCAATGGTCTGGCTTGCCGCTACGTCTATTTATCGACAACAATAATTTGTAAATGCTCGTTAACAAAATAGATGCCGAGGATGATGTAAGTAGACTGAAAAATTTGGGTTGTAGCACTAAAACCCTGTTAAGGATATTTAAACAACTTAATGTGCACTCCTTCACCATTTCTTCTCCAGGAAACGATAAGTAGGTATCGAAAAGTCTATTTCCATCGTCGATTATATCTAGTATAGTATTTAACATTTCCGATTTAATATTCAATTGTAACATAAGATGGTATCCGGGAGGAGAATTAAATTCTGTCTGGGTATTAGCAGGAAAATCGGACAGTTTAGGATCGTACTGATTTAAAAACTTCTCAAATAACTTTAAACAAAGTGTCGCCACCTCCCATTTCTCAGAGGTATTTCGGTAAGATCTTGTATGATATTTCAGAAAAACGGAATTAACGATGAAAGACAGATAGGGATCAAAGCCTGGCTTTCTCAATCCCGCCCCTAAAGTCCTGGGGATTCCGAAACCCGTTAACACTTGGAGAAGTTTGAGCACCGCTCTAGTTAAGGGATACTCTTCCATCCTCGATTCTATTTCGTCTAATTCAGTCTGAATACCGCGCGGCGAATAACTGGACGTGGTTGGAATAGTCACCAGAATTTGAGCTGTTTCCAAATTCTCCCACATTTGGGCGGCATTTTCGGACGATTTTGATAGGGCGGCAAGAGTGAGAAGAAGATCCGATTTTAACGGTATGGGAATCGAGCAACTGACTAATCCAAGCATCACGTTTAAGGGGGACCATCCCGGGTGTTCACACATAGCTAAACGAGAAAATTCGTCGCGTTCGGCTACCGTACGAATCAATAACAAAACGGCATGTAATCCGTCAATCTCTTGCGGGGACACGCCTTTGTGATAAGCAGCGCGGTTTCTATAAACGGTGTCGGCCTGCGGTGGAGTTTCCTGCCTCAAGTTGCTAAAATATTGAGCAAAAGACATAAAAAAATGATCCCATGACAAATTCGTGGAAACATTTGTGCTGGCCTGCTTCAGCATATTGAAACAATATCGTGCCGTTTGCTGTGAAGATGACAAACCACTCAACATTGTTATGTACGGAACAAACAAGGAAGAAGGCAACATATCTCCAGCTAATCTGATGAACTTGAATAACGACACTGATCTAGGAGGAGCTCTATAAGAATAACTCTGATTTGGACTGATTTCGATGGGACTCCAGTAATTCAGCATATAATCAGTGCCGAGGATATCGTTCGAATATAATTTTCCTACGGTTAACAATAAATATTCGAAATATCTCGGAAGGTTGGCGGGAGCTTCTAATCCTTCTCTGAGGTATACTTGCATCGTTCTAGAGATTTCATCGGCTTTCATTCGTAGATCTTTAACTTTCGGGTACATCGAGAAGATGAAGTCTGCTATCAAATTATGAATCCGTTTATAGAGGAAAGCTTCCTTGTACAGCGTCTTATTTTCTAGTAGTATGTTGTGCATAAACGTGAAAACGTTCATTTCGATGGCAGCATCGACGAACGTGTCTTCCCTGTTGATGGCATCCTGAAAACGATAGTTGTGAGGCACCTCCCTCAGAGAACTTATGCAAACTGACAATCCGAATGTAGAAAGCGCTTGCAGTCCTTCGCATACCCATTTGGGTTTCGTCGGTAAGAATTCGTTCATGATACTGGTCAAGAAACTGGTATCAGACAAAAGAGGTAACGACTGCACAGCCTCCTCCCCGTCCTCCCTTGTGTGCAATATGCTAAGATCTAGAGCGGACAAAAGCGCCATTTCTAAATACAAGTTTACATCATCGATCCTCCCCGATGCCTCTTCCTCGATTTTAATCTCCCTCAAATAATTAATTAGTGCCAAGGTAGGGTCCTTCGGGAGCCCGCACTGTGTTGACCAAGAAAACACTATATCCGCCAAAATATTCTTAATGTCATTAAACAAATCTGTGACCTGTCTTCGGTGTTTGGGTCCTCCTAATGCCAGGTTCTGTTGCAACTTTTCAATTTCTTTACTTAAATCGAGAGTTCGGAGCAGTTCGAATATCCTGTTAAATAGACCACCCTCCATTAATTGGTTGGTATAATCCGTGATAAATTTCGCTACGTCCGGATTTACTTTAACACACCACTGTACTCCCGTTCTCGCCTGTACTAAGTAAAGCAAGGTTGTCACAAGTGCTTTTCGCCCATCGTAATACAAAAGTACCGCTATCAAACCTCTGGGTAACGAGGGATAATACGGCATTTGTATTTGAGCAGTGCATAGTAGATCAAGAGCAACGAATTCGTTTATTTCAAACATATCTGATAGGATGATTGCTTCCTGGTATAATTCTTTGGATAAGACTTGATGCCCAATTCCTTTAATAGTGATTCCTTCATCCATGCCTTTCTTAAGTTCCTCCCTGGTTTTCTCATTTTTTGGCTGAAAAGAAAAGAATATTCATTTTCGTCAGTTATTAAATGAAGTACCAGGCTAAATTTGCAAATTTCCACATAATTTTATGGATATTGCTTTCTACACATACTAAATACAAGACGGAACATTCAAATTCAGAAGATTTTAACAAACTGCTTATATATTAATAAACTTGAGGCAGAAACCGTTGAGCAAAATTTGTAACTTCACTAAAATGCCTTTTATATACAGTATCACGTTGCTAATCCGTACCCTACGCGACCGAGAGCATGGTCAAAACACAAAAAAGGTCGGATTATCAGAGGAACACTTTTATTGCCCCGTAACATCACAATACAATTTTAATTTTCAGCTGGAAATACTGTACTGTCTGAAACATTGATAACAAAATGTGAAGGAAACAATACAAGTGAAAGTTTAAAGACTGTACATATCATTTACACACAACTGATTTGCTCTTAACTATTTAAGACATGAGAAATCATACGGTAAAAAATGTTCGTTCCGTTCTTAAGCAAAACGAAATCTTGATTCTAGGGGCGGCCCATATAGGTAAAGGTAAAGGAAGTAAGCAGACACCGGACGTGGGATGGTCGGACTAAGCGAGAAGTTGGACAATCCCAGGTCGGATTAGCAAGGTTTTACTGTATTCATCTTGTTGCAGTCATGTGCGGCTGAGGACCGCACATAATTTATAAATTGTTTATGTATTTTTTTGAAGGAATAGTTTTATTATTCCATAATTAATTTTACTACTCAGATATTACTGACATAATCAGAAAAATAACGTTATTGCAGGGAGAAAGACTCCAGCAACATAAATAATTATTATCCTGATTCTTAAATATTACTTTAACATTGTACACGAAATTATGCACATAATTACTCATATAGTTTCTCTCTCAATAAAACTACCACATAGGTATATGACTAATTATAACAGATATTTTTCATACCGGGTTTTTTAATAGTGAAAAAAAACTTTGTTTATGTTTCCTTAAGATATTTTCAAGCTCTGCCGATGTTAAGTCCTCACTGGGCTGATTTAAATGCTTCCAAACTATTCCCTTTAAGTCCTTATAAGGGTTCCATAAATCCTCAGATTTATTTACTGGCAACACTAAAATGTAAAAATCATTGCATTAATGTTAATTAGATTTTTTCAATACATACCATCATTCATTTTATAGATTTTATGTTTAAGAATATCTACAACGTATGTATGTTTAAAAACTTATAACAAATTAAATTTTAGGTTAGGTGAAACTAGAATTTAGTTTTTTCACATTTTAAATCCAACGAACACCAATGAAAGAAATCGGTTTGGTTTGGATACACACAGGGTTGCCAGATTTTCTTTTAAGCTAGTAGCCACACCAAAATTGAAAGTAGCCCAAAATAGCCTACATCTAGTAACAAAAACCGTTATTTATAATTTTTATACATTTGAAGTTTAAAACCATTCAGGTTTGAGTTTGTTCTGAGTCTGGGGACAATCCTTTTCTAGTCGTATGTGGACAACCCTGAGAAATAGAGTAACTGCTTGTTGTTCTCAAGTAAGGGTAAGAATACAACCACAGATCATATAATACATACAAGTACAACTAAGTGAGGAATTTTCAGTAAAATTATACATATTAATGTAAATTTGGAAACAGGATCGATCAGGATAACGGAAGGTTGAGAAGGTATTTTGCCGATCCTGATATTTAAAGAGATAACTGGAATTATACGTACCCTTAAATCGCTAATTATATTATTGGAAAATTTTCAGACTTCTAGTGGTCTTAATAAAACATCTTTTAAATTAATTTTGCACGACCGCCATCTACCGGTGAGTAGTTACACTAAACTACTTTGTACTTGAAATGATAGGAAACTAACACAATTAATGAATGTATTAACTTCATACCGGAAAGATGGCGCCACCTACTATAATCTGGCCTAAAAATTGATAGGAATTAAGAACAAATACAACTAAATTTGACAATCCTTTATTAACAAAAATATTACATGCAGTTATTACTATTTATTATAGCACCTAAATGTACATTAATTATTTTAAATTAAGTAACTTGTATTCACTGACTTCCTTCAGCATTTTAGAGATTTTCTTTGTCCTGTAACATAAATAAAAACAAATTAAACACCAATTTTATCGAAAAACAGAGTGACTGCCAAAATATCACCGACATTCATCAACATTCTTTGACGTTTCGCTTTCATGTTTGCTTCGTCGCGCTGAATGGATAAGGTTGACGAGAGCAGAAAATTTTTAAAAGAAACTACCTTTGTACCCGCATAAATAGTTTTTTTAATTATAAGGTCTCCGTCAGGTGTCTTTTTATTATTTCGTGGTAT